GCAAAGCAGTAATCAGAGCAAAGGGTGGCTATTTTGAAGAAACTAGAATATAAAACATGTTTTCAGTTATTTCACCTTTTTTTGTTAAGTACATAACTCCACGTGTTCATTCATAGTTTTGATGCCTTCAGTGAGAATCTACAATGTAAATAGTCATGAAAATAAAGAAAACGCATTGAATGAGAAGGTGTGTCCAAACTTTTGGCCTGTACTGTATAACAATCACTGGGTCCATGATTTAGGGCGAACTAACTAGCTTACTTCTTTTATCAAGTGTAGCTGGTTGCTAGGTAACAGTAACGCCAACAGGTTGGGGCAAGAACAAGTGGTGATGCAACCAGGAAATCCTCCGCAGACCAGACCATCACATTTCGGAGACCGTTCAGTTTGGCTGATGTGGTCCTCAAAGGACATGGCTGACTGACGATGACCGTGAAGGCCGCGTCCTCCAAAGGCTGCAGCTGCTGAATTGAAACAAAGCTTGTTTATTTTCACTGAGTTAGAAAATTATCAGCGGACCAACATGCACCCCGTTGCGGACCAGATTTGGCCCACGGGCTGCAAGTTGAGTGTCACTGTCCTGAAGAGTGCCTGGGTCCTGAACTGTTTAATGCAAAAGACGCTAAATGTTATTCTTGTCATAGAAGACGACACAGCAGAATAAGAAGTGCCAATTCTGCATACGAGCATAAGAACCCTGATACCCCGTTCAGACACGGTGACACTTTGGTGATTTATGTCATTGTGTCAGTGCCCGTCAGATGACCTTCCTTTGTGACTGGGGTTAGATGTAGGTGGACGCTGCCTGACTTTGCTGTTCTGTTGTGTTCTTTTTTTGTCATTAATGGAAATAAACAGTACTGCCGCTTTAACATCATTAAACGGACTCCCAAAGTGGAAAGCTTGAATTAGAAAGCGTACATGTTGAAAGAGGCAGAGAGAAGCTTTTTATTTGGTTAAGAGTCGATATAATTCAGTATGCGTCAACCAAAATGCACGTTAAGATGGTTGGACTTTAAACAAAGCTGCACAAACCAGAGGGACAGTGGACTTTACCCACAACCTGGGCATTAGTTTAACACTCACTCACTGCATGTTGCGTTGAACTCATAAAGAAAACGGTTTTTCTTGCACGCCTCGACACATCTAATTCTTTATAAACTGAAGTCACTGGGGTCTGCGTTTAATACCAGCAAGACTTCAGTTCACACTCTCACACAACTCGTGCAGCTTGATCCAAGTCTCATTTATCCAGTTGTGAGCTCAGTACTTCACAAACAATAGATTTTTGCTGATATGTAATAAGGGTGTCAACTAAAAAGTCTTGAATGTTACAACGATAAGGCCTTAAATGTTATGAGTCTTAAATTTGAATTTGTGAGTTCTTAACTACTGCAGACAATTTATCTAATTTCATTTATCCACAATGTTTTTGTGAAAATGAGTGAAGACTTTCAATGTAGAAGTCCACATTTATGTTACAAATCTTTTAAAAACTATAATACTGTTATTTTACTTGGTACTCGTACTTACCTGTTGGCAAAATGTAGATTGACTTAACTCACTCTGATAACATATTCCTACTTAACTCTGCACAAGACCACATACACCGATCAGCCAAATCATTCAAACCACTGACAGGTGAAGTGAATAACTTTGATTATTTAGTTCCAATGCATTGTTCTGCTGGGAAACCTTTGGTTCTGGCATTCATGTGGATACCACCTGACATGTACCACACCTCATGGCAACAGTACTCCCCAATGGCAGTGGCCCCCCAGCAGAAAAAAGCAGACTACACAAACTGTTTACAAATGGCCTGTGGAGCGTGACAAAAAGCTCAAGGTGTCGACCTGGCTTCTAAATTACCCAGGTCCCAATCTGCTCAAGGATTCTTGTGATGTGCCGGTACCCCAGATGTACCCCTAATCCAAGGTGGGGCCTCCTTAGATAGGACTAGGCTCTGACCTGTAGAGACATGGACACAGGATCTCTGGGAGTGTCCTGTGGTGTCTGGCACCAGTGCGTTGGAAGCAGATCCATTTAGTCCAGTGGGTTGTGAGGTGGGTTAATGGCACGTGCCACAGGTGCTCATTCAGATTGGGATCTGGGGAATTTGGAGGCCAGGTCGACACCTTGAGGTCTTTGTCACATTCCTTGGGCCATTCCTGAACCATGTTTGCAGTGTGGCATGCTGCATGTTACAGTTTGTAAACTGATGTTTTGATAAAGCTTTGCTGTTGTTAAACATGGCCCCCAATTTCTTCTATTTATGAAGGAGGTTCGTCTTTCTTGAATTCCTCATTCACCGTTGATACATGCGAGAAAAATTCAAGGTAACACATGTTGAGTAATTAATATCCAAATGCTCTTTTTGCGACCAACATATTCCTTTATTAATGATTTAACACAAAGACAACTTTTAGCTGTAGTTCTGACTAAATTAACATTTGTAATGTGCTCATTCAGTAAGCACCTTCTCCTCTAAACTGAGGTTGTCCCCATCCCTTTGTTTGAGTTGGACCGGATCTGCCAAAGGAGTCATGTCTGAGTTTACTGCCAACATAAATATCTCTTATCTTAATCTGTTAGTTGCACTTTCAATTCGAGGCTGTCTGTGTTAACAGAGGAGGGAGAAGTTCAAATACTTAAAAAGAATAACAAACAATACAGATTCCCAAAATCCACACCCCCAGGAAGAATGAGAACGTTCAGGGCTGTCCTTAAAGGGACAGTTCACCCTAAAATCAAAAATACAAATATTTCATCTTACCTGTAGTGCTAGCTATCAATCTAGATTGTTTCAGTGTGAGTTGCAGAGTGTTGGAGATATCGGGTGTAGAGATGTCTGCCTTCTCTCCAACATAATGGAACTAGATTACACTCAGTTTAGGGTGCTCAAAGTGCCAAAAAAAACAAAAGTCAACAGCAGTGTCTCTTTCCAGAAATCATGACACAGTAACTCAAGAAAATCCACAGATTTGTTGAGCAGTTTGATGTAGGAACTATTTTCTTTCTATCGAACTTCACCCACCAACCGTATCACCACGCAGAAGGAAGCGTGCATCTACTGCTCGCTCACCTAACACCTCTGAGCTAGCTAACATCACAGCGCAGCCGAGGAAGATGCAGTTAATCCATGAGTAAATCCATGCTTCCTTCTGTGTGGTGATACAGTCAGTTTTTCCAAATGTATTTCTTTGGTGCTTTGAGCACCACAAGACAAGAACAATCTAATTCCAATGTATTTAAGAGTCAGACATCTCTATGGCCAATATCTCCAACATTCGGGGCAACTCACACCCGAACAAGGATTGATGAACAGCACTGCAGGGAAGAGAAAAAGTGTGCTTTTGGTTTTGAGGCTGAATTCCTTTAAACAAGATTTTGCATTTATACCACTGAGCTGCTTTTACACCAGTGACACTGTGTTCGAGCAGATTTTGTATTTTGATATAAAATGTATTTTGGGGGTGGGCATGACTACAACATCTTATGTCTGTATGATAAATGTGAAGCTACAGCCAGCAGCTAGTTAGCTTAGCATAGACTGTCCATAGTTACTACAATCCTCCTGTCGGCATTTGTACAGAATCAGATATGTAATAGATATTAGATATGTTATCCAACAGTGGGGATATGTTCTGCAATTTTTCTTTGTCAGGCCGGCCGGCTGCCTGTGTTCACACTACGAGCGACAGCATCAGTATGACCAGCTACGTTATTGCCGAGTCACCATTAAAGTGTGGCTTAAGTGCTTGTTAACGTTGGTATGCTGTCACAGGCTTGTGTGCGTCCCCTACCTGCCACAAAGCACCTCAACTGAACGCCATCCAAAGCTATCATAGCGTCGGCTAACTAAGCTCAATAACACGGCACCACAGCTAGAAACAAACACATATGTTTGGTTGACCCCTCAAGGCGTCAATAAAGTGCTTAACAAGTTGAAACCAGCCCACCTTTACCCTTTTTACACAGAAATAGTGCTGTAGCGCCGCCATGAAGTCCACTCTTAATGCCACCTCCACATTTTTTACTTGGAATCAAACGACAGCAGCATCGTACCATGTCAGCGTGTGATTATAGATTGCATCCTGTCATTGCAGAATCAAAAATGTTGACATGTAACATGCATCACCAGCTCTTTTTAAACCTTCACCATCCCTGTTATTTGGCGGCTGATCTCGTCCTCTGCTTGGAGGTAAGGAGCTCTCAGACCTCATTGTTTTCCCTATTTGCGGACATTTTCAGTCACTGTTCTTCTTTACGTTAGCCACTAACTGCTATCAGCTACTTTTAAATCTCCCACTGTGGGTTGCACACACAACACATCATCAAAACGTCAAGCCGGTGCCACCCAAGATCCCACCCTGCCAGCTATCCCATTTATACAGCTATTGTTTCTCTGCTTTTACAACCTCTGTCCTCCCATTCTGCGATCATACCTCGTATACAGAACAGCAAGGCGACGTTACAGTGTGATATTTCTACCTTAAATAGGATGTAGCTTCATATAAACCAAACAGACATGAGTGGGCATTGATACTTTGCGTATAGAACATTTGCATTCAGGATGAAGAAAAGACAGGATTATTCTGTGTTTTTATTTCATGTTTATTTGCAGTTAAAACAGAAGCAGTTCAACAGAAACAAAACAGCAAATTACAGAAACAGCAGAAAGGTGATAAAAGTGAGATAAAATAAGAGATCTCTGTTTCCAATAGCATCAGGCTGTGGTAGCACTGTGCAGCTTTTTGGCTCAATGGCGCAGACATGAGTAAGTGTAGATGTGTTTCACAAGCTTTCCTTGCATGACACATGTACTCGGAGTTGCTGTTTTACTTAAAACCAGAAACTGACGTTTTACATCTGAGCTGAAACCTACAGAGGATGGAGACAGGCACTTCAGGCAGGATGGAGACTGTCAAGCTGCAGCAGGATCACTGATGAGATTTTGTTTCACAATAATAGCGATGAAATAAAGACTGTGACAGTACTGTGAATATAATGACCCGTTTGAGGATAGTTTCACTTGGTTCACATATTTGTCTTTCAAACTGAAGCTCTGATCCTAAAAGCACAAAAAATATAACTCAGTGGAGTGACAGGTGTGTCTCAGACGTCTGAAACGAGGCAGGAAAGCAGGTAAGAACACTTCATTTTGTTTCTGACAGACTCTGGATTTGAGGATGCCGCCGTCTTCAATACTGACGAACAAATTTGCGATGCTACGTTCAAGTCATATCGGAATTATGATAACTACTGGTTTGAGTTGTAAGTAGAGTTCACATCAGTCGTCCAGAATAATCAGAAGTGCACAAGTGGACGTCTCATGTCTGCTAAAGTCTGCCGTTCAAGGTAATAAACATATATGGTGCCATATTGCCATGGCATGGTAAACAATAACTAAGTGCAATCGTCCCATGTTGCCCGACGATGTAAATGTTTACAAGTCGAAAACATGGTAATCTCTAGAGCTGTAACTATCAGTCGATCAACAGATAACTAAGGAAATAAAAAATCATTATTGTGGGTCTTTAAAGTCATGGAAAGGTTTGGAAATTGTGTCCATGAAATATGTGGGAACCCTCATATTAACTGGCAACTATTTTAATAATTGCACAATTATTTTAGTGGGTTTTTTGAAGCAAAAAAGACAAACTTTTACTGGTTTCAAGCTTCTTCTTTTCTTTGTCGTACTTGATAATAAACTACATAATTTTGGATTTCAGGACTGTTGGTCAGATAGAACAAACCACCTGAAGATGTCACCTCGAGCTCCGGGACATTACACTCGTCTCATTTCACAATTTAACATTTTATTAACAAATAATGGGCGGAGTAACTGATAATGAGAACAATCTTTAGTTGCAGCTCTAGTACAATCCATCCCATATGACGTGAACACGGCATGAATATCAGTCCACTGAGAAAAAGACACACATTCACACGTACAGAAAACCAAATATAGGATAAATAAGTTAACTACCTGAGTGTAGAACATTATGTGAAAAATGGTCGTTAACTTGTCAATGAAATACAGAATAAACCTTTACGATCACCAAAGTTTGGATGGGCGGGTTGGTTGAATTTTGAGGTGAGGAGAACTGGACTATAATATTCATAACTAAGTTTTCTTTAGTGTATGATCACCTGAAAACAATAATCACTGTGTTTTTACCTTCGAATAAGCCGTTTATGTTTCGTTATGTTCGTCTGTGGAGTCCGCCATGTTGTTCTGCAGCAGACCAGAACAGACAAACACAACAGTGGCTCAAGATGGTTTCTTGTTTTCACGTCAGCCACCATAGTTCTCCCACACGCTTGGCACACGGGAGACGTTTCAGTTGGTTGCAATCTGCAGCTTCACCACTAGATACCGCTACATCCTACACACTAGGGACCAGGTGCATTAATGATGTGTGTGCATAAAAACCATGCGTACGCCTTTTGCCACACACAAACTGATATTTATAAATGTGGGTACCTCACGCGTTCTTCAGACCTGGTGTACACACAGTTTAAGCTTTGATGCGATAAGGAGCAGATTAAATTTAAGTTGAGAGACTGTTTTTAGGTTGTTTGCCAATTTCACTGATTGTGTTATTTTCACTGCACGGCATTCTGTAAAATATCATTTAAAGGCGTTTGTTTTATGCGCTAGTTAAATTATATCTTTGGATTGTCAGACAAAACTAGCAACTTGAAAATGTCATCTTGAGTTTCCAGAATATCGTTATTGGCAGTAACAAACGATTACCTTGACTGCAACGAGAACCTGAGCTGCTAAATATGACGTAAACCATGGGACGATGTAAACGTCTCAACAGGTAAAATGTTTTCTTTATAAACTTTATTTATATAGCACCTTTTGTGCAAAATGACAAAACAAGGTGATCGACAAGACAGTACTAATAAAAGAAATAATACTGTACTTGTATTAGGCCTTTATCAATTTATTTTCCTAACCCTGACTGTATCACAATACATTTTGATCAATATATACCATGACAGATTGCTATATCACCCACTCCTATCTGAAACCTAATGAGCTGCAACTAATTACCTCATCTTTTTAATTCAGTTCTAATGTCAGAACATTTTTAAGCCATAAACTTCATGTGTCTGTGGAGCTGGATCACATGACCTGATGTCATGTGATTGCAGAACAAGCTTGTCATGTTAACACATCTAGGTTTTGGAGCTCGACGTGACGGCTGATTACCTGCTGAAGTTTAACAAGTGATGACGGTAAAGGTTAATTCTCAGCTAGAACTATGATGTGTGTCAATAATTTCACCTCTTATAAATAAACATAAATACTAAGTGACTTGAACTGGTAAAATACAAACATGGCCAAGGCGCCTCAGTTCTCATCAAACGGAGCTGCGTTTTCCAGAAGCGTCTCAAGACCAAGCTCACGTTTGTCCCAGCAACAGTAAGCAGATCAAACACGTGTCCGGTGTGGATGAAGCTTTTGGGAAACACAGGTCAAGTGTTTGACTTAAAGCGGCTGAATCGTGTCACTGCTCGGCTGTTTTTTTAAATCTTCTTATAAAAGCATCAGTGATTCGTCGTCCTCTCCTTTCTGTACGCAGTGCAGTGACAGATCCTTACCGCTGCCTCCAGAGTCCCTGATGTGTCGTCATTTCTTCTTCTGCACCTCCTGCAGCAGCTTCAGGGCGGCAGAGTTCTTTGGTTCCACTTTGAGCAGGCTGTTCAGATCGTCCTCACAGGCTTTGATGTTCTGCAGGACGTACAAAGAGGACTTAGATTTAAAAACAAAACGAGGTTGAGGAGAGCGCTGACACTGAAATGAAACAGTAAATTTTCAGGCTGATTTCAGAGATGTAGGTGTCTCCACTGTTTTTAAACCACGTGTGCACGATAGGGTATTTAGAAATCTGACAGTGTGATTTTCAGTAGCATCAAAACTACAGACGCTCATCTTTCTTTTTAGCTAATATTGAGATGCCTTATTGAGGCACTGTATTGTAGTGCAAAACATGGGCCACCAGAGGTCAGTGTCTACTGGTGGGACAGACAGCTGACATGTCTCGTCTATCGTTTTTTCCAACCTGCTCATAAAACAGGTTGCGTTCCCTTACAAACCGCACACCCCGCCATCTAGTGCCTGGTCTAACCTGTGCTTCAGCAGTAGGGATTTGGCTTCACTCGCTTTCTGCAGCTGCTGCTCCTCTAATCTGAGCCGATTAGCTCTAAGTGATTCGACCCAAAACTGATCGACTGATAGACTTTCCATCCCGTTACACAGTCGACAAACTGAACAAACTGCTGCTGAGGAAAAAAAAACCTTCCAATTTCCACACACACTGCGTTCATGGACCAGCAAAAAGGTTTAAAGTCTTAGATTGTACTGTTACAGTAAAGTCACGTACTGTTAGAATAAAGATAAATAAAGCACTGTTAGGATCAAGTTAAATATTGTCATAGCCAAATAAATCAAAGCGAAACATCTGACGCTTTTATTCCGAAGCCCCCTGTTCACCTCGGGCCAGAAGTGTTGATGTTTTTGCTGAGTTCTCATCAACCAGACCTGCGTTTCCCAGAAGCGTCTCGAGACCAAGCTCACGTTTGTCCCAGCGACAGTAAACAGATCAAACTTGCATCTGGTGTGGATGAAGCTTTTGGGAAACAGGTCAAGTGTTTGACTTAAAGTGGCTGAATCGTGTCACTGCATCAGTGATTCGTTGATGTTTTTGCCGTGAACTTGAAGCTTCCTTTTAACAGTTAAGCCCACTTCAGACCAAAGATTTAGAACTTCGCAGCAGTGTGAACTGGCCAGTCTGAGCTCGACTCAAGCCGGTTGATGGTGTCTCCTGCAACTCAGCTGGTCAAATTGCCGGCGGCTGGTTTTAGAACATAAGGCCTGTCATCTATTTCAACAACTAATCAGCTTGTAGTGAAGTCTGCTCGTCAACTCAACATGGCTCCAAACGCTTGCTGCAGCAGGTGCTCCGTCCCTGCCAAGCCCTGTTTCTCCTCACTGTGTGCCGGTGTTGGACGGTAAGACGCTGCTGCTGCTCGCTATTAAAGTTAAGCTGTCACACTGTTAAACATGAGTGACTGTGAGCTGAAAACAACCTAACAGCTCTCCAGTTCAAAAGTTATAGTATTTACAACTCACATTAGTGCTCCATGATTTCAAAACACTAGTATACAGTCGTGTGGCCTGGAGCCCGGCAGATACAAAAACACACTCGATAGGGGGGTGTTCGTGACTCGTCATGTTTGTGAGTCTCTTTCTGTCTTTGAGATAGGGAGAGAGCCATAGGACAGAGCAAGACAACGAAAACACCAAAGCAGGTCTCATGTTGGTGGCCTAAAAACAAAAAAATGGTGTGACTACTAATATTAAATCTTCTCAAAAACGTTATTTTGGACATCTTGCGTGGAACAAGCCGTGATACATAGCGTATAATCGACATAGCAACCACCGCTACTTTGTCCTGATCCAGATAAGATACCCAGGTACATGTTCAGCCACACTAATGTTAGATTTATGCTGGGTTATGTTTACTCAGCTCGTCATGGCTTTTTTTTCTGGACGTTTTTCACACAACTCAAACCTCCAAAACAATCGACAGTTGCAACTGTACGGAGCAGTGAGAGCCGAGCTAACCGTGTCCTCTGTGTGTGTTGAATACTGATGAGGAGAGGCCGCCAGGGGAAACATCAGCAATTATCAAGGCAGGAAATGCTTTTATTTTGTCACCCGCCCTGAAATCCTCCAGAGAGAGAGGCTTTTAAAAACGAACGTCTGATTACTCTCTTGTGGGAATCGGGGGCTGTGGCGCAGTGATGAAGATTCACGCTCTCACCTTGAGCTCTTTGTGAGCCTGAGCCCTCCTGTAGAGAGCCTTGACGTTGCTGCTGTCAATCATCAGGGCCTCGTCACAGTCTCTGACAGCATCTTTGTACTGCTTCACTGACAGGTAACACAGCGCCCTGATAAGACACACACACACAAATAAATACAATTGAATCAAAACATCAGAGAGCTCATATGCTACTTGTGTGTTTTAACCTAGAAGGTCACTTATTTTTGTGTATTGCCTCTGGGATGTTTTTAATCTGCACTGATTCTTTACATAATAGTAATACCTTCTGATCAGATTACACTCACATATTGATGAATAAAGGTTGTATTTGTTTATCATAATTATTACACTGGGTTACAGTATACAGCATTCCCCTCCAGTTTTGTCTTTTTTAGGGGGGGGGCAGGGGATTTTTGGGGAAAGATAGTGAGTCAGCAGTGGTTCACATCAACTGGGAACCTGAAGATTAATTTGAGATGCAGCTCAGCTCTGTGTGTCAAGTATTTCTAGTCATAAATCTAAATAAACACTGTGTTTCTGTCAGGCGCCTATTCAAACTTTTAGAGTGTACTGGTTTTTAACACATTATGATGGAGGTATATGACGGCCATTCCCATGCTTAATTATGTCTCCTATGTTGTGGCAGCAATTTTTGCATTGATGCCATTTGCTACACAGCTTAGGTTTAAATTTAAGCATTTTTTACCGCTTGAGAATAATTAAAATGATCGAAAAATCCCTTCAAAACACCACAGGAAGATACCAAGCCCTTGCGGAACACCATAGAAAAAACCATGCTGTGATTTGATATCAAACACTTTTGAGATTTGGAGATTACTCTAAGAATGGCATTTTTCTGTGACACTTTCAAGCACTTGTGTTCTGGAAACAGCTGAGAACCCTCTAACTGTCAAAATACCTATGAAAGCCATCCGTCCTCTGAATGTCTGAGGTCTCTAGTTTGTGATTGTAAAGTTTCATGAGGCTGTGATCATCCTAGAGGTCACAAGAGGTCATTTTCCACAGTGATGTCAAATTGAAAGACATGACTCACTACAGTCAAATGGTTACAAGGAGAGGTAACATCATCACATATGGATAAAATTGGGCTCAATGACTTTACAAGAGTCTCAATTTAAATTTCAATAATGTTTATGGACCCGATCATGCAAAAATATTCAAATACAATAGGTTAATTTGATGAAGCCTAGTGCAAGTTCAATCAGGAAGACTTTCTTTATGCTATATTCATTCACATTTCTCTCCCTATCCCATTTCCCACTGCTTCCTAAAATCAGCTGACTTTAAATCTGTTCTCCTCTCTGCTCCCGTCAGCTGTCATTTCAGGACGAAATTTCATGCTCTCCTCCACCCCATTCACCTCCAGTCACCTGACTGGACGAGCTCATCAAAAGCCCACTCCTCTTTACATCCACATCCTCAGCTCCCTCTTCATCTCATCACCACCACCAGCGCCTAGACTTCATGTCTACTACGTCTTTACCACCCTCCTGGAATAGATGACATCACAACGGGGACTAAACGCCAAAGCCTTTTCACATTTCTCATACATATGTGCACATGTAAATAAATATTCTTTTCTTTCAGAACGAGTCTCTCCCGAATGAAACACGTGTTCTGCATAGGAAAAGCTGAATAGAACTACCACAAAGTGGGCATGTCTGTCAAGGGGAGACTCGTGGTCACCCATTGACCCCATTTTCATTTAGATATCTTGAGGTGAGAGGTCAAGGGAGCCCTATTAAAATAGCTAAGCCAGTTTCTCACTTGCCAAAATTTAGCCTAACTTTGGAGCGCTGTTTAACTAAACTCAGCCCACTACACCCTCTGAAAGACGGTGATGTTGGCAGAGCATGCCAGCGTCAGCTAGTGGAGTGGAAAAGGTTAAAGGGATAAAATAAGAAGATGTGACTCACCGGTTGGTGTAGGTTGTGATCTCAGTGGGGTTGAGTTTGAGGCTCTGGGTGTACTTCTCTATGGCCTTCTTGTGCTCTCCTTTCTTCACCAGGGCGTTGCCTTCCTCTTTCAGGGTTTGGCCTTTCTTCATGTCTTTTTCACTGGGAGCTGACAAGAGTGGAAAATATGACGGGAGGGACAGAGATGAAGAAAAGAAAAAGATCTAAGTCAACCTTTAAGATTCTGACAATACTCCTGACTCTGACGACATACACAGAAGAAACTGTTACTGGTGGCAATCAGGGACTGTGTTAACATGCAGCTGCTCAGTAATCAGACTCTTTGACATCTCCAAATTGATCCTATATGAAGTGATGTCACTTTCAAACTGGTTATTATCAAATACATTTGCCAACACAAATTAGGTCCTTTTATCTTAATAAAAAAATCACTCATCCAGTTAGTTATGATTTTACTTACTCGAGTAGAAATCAAAACAGGAAACATAAAATCTTCTTACCAGATTTGTTTGTTTGTCTGGTGCCGTTCTGTTTCGGTGTAGGGTTTGGTGGTGCGGCGTTGCCTGCAGCTTGTTGGACCAGTTTCTCTCTAACAGACAGAGGAACAGTGGGGATGGGAGGAAGCTTTTCTCTCCACGACAGACCGTCTGCCTCTGTGAGCGCCTTAGTCATCCTGAGACACAATCATAGGGAGAAAACACATCTAGAGTTTAACACCCTGTGCGGTCCTTTATGTGCACTGAAAGATGCCAGGAAAGACAAAACATCCTGTGCACTTTCACAATCAGAAATTACAGTCTGAAGGATAATTATTGCCATCGTGTTATAGTCAAATATAATTCTAGTCAGCTCATTAAAACCCCAATAACAGCTCGCCAACAGCTGGACAGAAACAACCAGAAATACAGATTTGCTAATTGAGTAACACTCAAAAATCTGACTTTTTTGAATCATCAGTTTTCATTCGATGCTCCTAAAATAATGACAAGCTATCGCTAAGTTTTAGAGTCCCTGTCTGAGAATAATTAATAATGATTAATAGTGATGCAAATTGAAATAGTTTTTGGCGGGGGGTTTGAACCCCAGGGTGGGGAGCCCTTCTGTGCGGAGTCTGCATGTTCTCCCTGTGTCAGTGTCAGGTGCTCCAGCTTCCTCCCACAGTCCAAAGACATGCAGGTTAATTGGTGACTCTAAACTGGCCGTAGGTGTGAATGTGAGTGTGAATGGTTGTCTGTCTCTATGTGTCAGCCCTGTGATAGTCTGGTGACCTGTCCAGGGTGAACCCTGCCTCTCGCCCAGTGTCAGCTGGGATAGGCACCAGCCTCCCCGTGACCCCTAACAGGATAAGCAGTTATGGAAAATGAATGAATGATCGATAGATGGATTGATCTATATATATTCACCATTCGAATACTGATTTGGACATCAATTACCATGGCAACAACTGGAGCTTCTCTGTTATTAGGGCTGGCCCTTGAAAGTCACAGATTCAAATTGTCAGTCAGAGACCCCCCAAGTCGACTGCAAGTGCTTCAAGTCGAGTAGTCATTTTGTTGTTGTTTTTCTCCTAGTCAGTGTGCTGCGCTGTGTACTTCTGAGGACACTTTGCTCCCTAGGCTTTGCAGCGAAGTGGGAACTCTTGACTTTCACCTTTCATCTTGTTTGCTAAAAAAGGCTAAATCAATATGTGACTAACAGAGCCAAGATCAACCTGCGTAGTCCCTCCATTTTGAAACTGGAAAGTGGTGCGTTAATCTATTTCGGTAACATAACTCTTTTTCTGCTCTTTGATTACTTCCAGTAGTTTTTCCGTATGACAATTCTGACCAGTTAGAGAGCAGTTTCCTCTTTGGTCTGCTTGTAAATAACGCCATGTGAATGCAGGACAAACTTGAGGTGATATGCAACATTTTGAAAAACTGGTCCCTCACTCAGACCAGAGCAAACAAACTTTTAGTTCTTATAAATTCCCCAGAGTGGATAAATCCAGTCTACAACCAAGGTACCTGTTGGTGCCATCGTGAGCGGCTGCTATGTTGCAGTCGATCTGCAGAGCAGTCTTATAGTCTACATAGGCCGGCCTGTAACGCTCCAGAGCCTCGTAGGCAGCAGCACGACGCAGCAGGGACTTCACATTGAACGGGTACAACTCCAGAGACCTGAGAGAAAATGTGTTCAGTTCACAAGTTAGACACTTACAAAGAGCAAAACAGCAGAACAGGCTTATTTTCCATTTGTAACAAGGTCAAGTGTCAAAACTGAAAGAGACAAAGACGCCTAAAAAACATCCGTACTACAACATAAGGACTGTTGGCATGAAGGTTAATATCTTCATGGTTGATAATAACTTAAAAACTTAAAGGTTGGGGTCTTTAACAAGTTTACTTATGAAGCAAATGTGAGCCACATTAGAAAATTATGTGACAAGAACAAACATCATGTTTTAGTTACACCACACAACAGTGCGGTGTAACTAAAACAAAGTGATATCTGAACGACGAACAAACAAAAATTACAAGAATTAAAACACCCGCACAGAATCACAGACTACAGATGACACAGTGTAAAATGATAATAAAAAAGATATATAAAAGATAAGTAGTTAAAAATAAAAGATAAAAACACTTACGTGTTGCAGTCTTTCACACACTCTGCACAGTTGCCGTCTTTCAGGTAGCTGGCTGCACGGTTTGAGTACAAAATGCCCAAATCTTCTGGATTCTTTTTATCTTAAGAGAGAAATAAGACGGTTTAAAAGAAGCACTTCACCAGAGTGGTCATTTAGTCTGAGTCAAACATCCTTTAGCTCGGTCCTTTTAGAGGACACATAAGGGGAAAGATGAGAAAAGGCCAACTAATAAGACAGACTGTTGCAATAATAAGAGAGACAATAAAACACTGATTAAAGGATCAGTTTGGTGTCCATGTAGTCAAGCGTGTCATTTGTCACTGTGTAGTATTTAACCATTGGGAAATATTCAAGACCTCATGTACAGAGCCTCTGACCTAACACAAATACTAACAAAAATAAAAACACTACGCAAAATATAAATGTTTCAACACAAAATATGGATATCCTGGACTTTGTAATGTGTATATATTCATATTTATGGCTATAGAGATCCAAGGGAAATGCTTTCTTCACTGACAAAAAACTCAATGGTCTCCTCCTCCCAGTCGTCCACATTAATGTCCAGCTCATCCGTTTCCACTCCTCCTGAGCTCGAGGCGAATGCTCTTCTGTTCCAGACAGGTCTGCTGCACTGTGGTCACAGTAGTGACGGTAGTCCTCCATCATGGACCTGCGCTTGTCCACCAGCTCCTTGGAGGCCTTGGACTGGCTCAGACGATGCTTCTGCTCAAAGATCTTTCAGTATTTCTGAATATCCTTCTTGATCTGGTCTGTGCTGAGCAGGGTGAGAGGTCTGGGTCTCCAGAGCAGCTGACAGATAGTGTCCTTGTTGTTCTTCTGAAGAAGACATTTCCTTTCTGGAAGACCTCTGTGCCATTTGTGCTATTTTCTATTTTATCTTTTTAGATAAATGTATCATCTACTACTGACTGAATTTTCATTGTAGACTACTAGTGTAATTTAAAAGCGCTCCTTGGGTCCCCGACCTCACCTGCACATTCTCTAACTCCCTCTCTATATAGAGTATTTGTGCTGAATCTATAATTTGTTCCTTTTATGTGTGCAAATAAATAAACAATAAACAGGTCATATTTAAGCAACACTTACTGGACTTCTCCAGCTCTTTGATGGCCTGGCTGTAATAATTGGTGGCCTCTCCATACTGGCCCGCCTTGAAAATATCGTTCCCAGTTTGTTTCAACTCCGTCCAGGACTTGGACTTGTGTTTGTGAGGCATCTCGTCTTTTTGACGCTTATCTGAAAAGATGAAACACTGGTTACCATCTGCACATGAAAACAGTCTGTGTCAAATAATCACAGAGTCAAACGGCTCTGTTAAAACATTTTTAATAGGTATATAGGCTTAACATTCTTACAATTGGAGAATCTAAGAATTTCTTTAGACCTATAAAATTGATTAATAAAAAATAACTGTTAATCATTTACATATAACTTTTGGGTCAAAGCCACAGGGAGTTACTGGACAGGGGCTACAGACCCACATGTGGCTCCGGAGCCACAGGTTGCCTACCCCTGGCTTTTCTGTTACTACCAGGCCACGGGGTTTCACTCACATAACTTCAGCTGTGACAAATGTTGTGTGTCAATCAAATGCAGTGTGTGCTCCTGAGCTCCACACCTGCTCACTCAGATTTAACTGCTCCGCATCACAATTTAAATAATAACTGCATCTCAACATAGATAAGACAAGAAATGGTGGTTAAAACATGTTAAAATATGCAGATATCATTACACACTTTGCTTCCACTTAGTGGCCAGAATATTAGGTACCCTGGTTAAAGCTTGTATGTTCTGGTTTAGAGAGGTTTAATTTCACCTTTATGATAAATCTGAAGGCTTTTGTGCTGCTATTTAATTGTACTGCTCCTGAGAGGTGTTTCTAATATCTACTACATTCCTTAATATAAAACAGTTACAACAAAAATGAAATTCATTAAGGTAAAATGTATTTCAGGGCTGTTGTGTTGACCTGGTTTTAGCTAGCTGGACACAATACATTGTGAATATAAAATAGAGACTTTATGTTTGCTAATGATGTCCACATATATAATTTACCTGCGTTTGTCTTAAAATCAATTTAACACAGTTTACCTATCCATAACGTTACTGTTCCGGTATGCTAACTTATCCAAGATACATGTTAGCTTAAACTGCCAGTAGTTGTTGTTTTATCCGGGTAGCTTCAATTATCGTTAGCTCTTTACGACCGTTTGTGTCCAAAATAACACTAAAAGTTGGCTTTAAATGAAGACACACCTGGACGTAATGTTCCTGAGTTGTCTTTTGTTTAAATTAGCCGTTACTTCCACTCTTTTCTAGCTTAACTGCTAAGTTCTAGCTCGCTAGCTTACTCATGCTAACTCGCATTCGAACGCTGTTTAAATAAAGCTAACCTAGCAAGCTAACTTAGCACACTCATACAGCTAGCTGTGCTAACAGTAGGGGGCTCTCACGCTTCTTACCGGCTGTCGGTTCTGAGAGAAAGCAAAGCAGCGAGTAACGTTAGTCCTCTTCACGACACTAACCGACTACCGGCACCTGAAACTATCTGTACCCGCTGTGTACGGTGTTAATACTGACATTACTCTTGTGTACTTGCTCCCTCCAGGTGGGTCGGACCGGTCCTCTGCGTGTGTTTAAGGTGGAGAAGGTGCAGCGGAGAAGTTGCCAGTAACTTGTGGTAACTTCTCGGTTTGCTTATTGAGGCCAGACGAGGAGGAGGAGGAGGAGGAGGAGGAGGAAGGGCTGAGGGGGGAGTCACTACTGTATCGCTTTCGCTTCGGTTTTCAAGCTGCGTTCAAAGTCATGTGGAAGTTGTAGGATTTGGAGAACATACTGCGCCCTCTGCTGGTCAAAATGGATATAACACCTGTTGAGAGAGTCAAATGTGCAAGGACGTAGTCTCAGGAGCACAAATGGAACATTGAGGAGCCCGATTACCACCTGGAGATATGCACCCGTTTGAATTTGAATTTTATTAGCACACAATATTTAATTTAAAACAAGTATATAGACATACACATGGCAGGCATTGTGTTGGAGAGGTAAGAAACACGACGGAGCTTATGGTGAAAACCTCCCCTCTAGAATTTCAATTCTCTTCTGATATGAAAAGTATTTCTCTCCCAAACATGAGAATGTAACAGACAATACAAGTAGTTATAATAAATCATAAATGAAACAGACACATACACATAACCTATACACTGTTCAAAGAACTCATGTTAAATCAAAAATGGTGAGTTTTTAATATATGCCCTCAAAAAGGCAACATCATTTTGTTTTGTAAAATAGCATCAATCTGTAACAAAATGATGTGCTTATTTTACATAAACTATAAAAAAACTATAACTTAACTGAATAAACTTTAGTTAAACTAATAATTTCCCATTTTCTTTTGTAGTTTTTGTCATATACAGATATGTAATGTAATCTCGTCCTATATCAAGTCTCATGTAATGAGACCATATGATTTACAGCAACTAGTTTAGGTGCAAAATCTCTCCAGACTGACAAGCTGTGCACATCTGCAAGTGGATATAAGATAAAGCAACAGTAAGACACATTGTAGATAAAATATTCAGTATGTACACCTAAAACTGTGTGTGTGTGTGTGTGTGTGTGTGTGTGTGTGTGTGCGTGTGTGCTTCATGACTAGTACCTAGCATGCACTGGGGCCCATGGCAGCTACCTTACGCCACAGCAACAGTGGCGTAAGGTAGCTGCTGTATCATATTGTCTTGTTACATGATCAAATAGAGACTTGACTTTCAACAACATTACCATACATGTTACCCAGCAATCATCACTGCATACCTGTACATGACAAAAATATAAAAAAAACAAATTATTAATTTACTTTATCCGTTTTTTTTAATATGTATATAAAGTTTATTGAGAGTTTATAGTTTCAGTAGAATAAGCATTAAATGTTGTTATAGATTACTGCTGACTATTCTACCCACAAAAAGAAAAGAAAATTATTATTTTGACCATCTGAATCATTTGTGGGCCCCAGTTCAGCTGCACCACTGTCTGCACTGTCTATATCTATGGCCCTGCAAGGAAGACACAGTCGAGACAGAGTTGCACAAAATATTTCCCCAAATTTAAAAATAAATAAAGAAACATCCAGACTGTCATTTTTTTACGCTGGGCTACAGCAGCCTTATAATAGGTTTTTACCCAGTGATGTTTCTATACTTTTGGATCTCAGACATGCTGAAGAGGCCTCTTTGATCCATGTTTGTAAGCAGCAACGCAGAGGTGGTGTCTTCTACAGATGGATGAGGACTGATTGCTGATTAAAGAGTTGTGCAAAGGAGTTTCACCCAGGTGCATCAGAGATTCATAATCAGTAGTTAATCCAATAGGGTTCTGGGTCTTTCGATGAGATCTGTGTTAACTGTTTTGAAAAAGGATGTGAAAAATGTGGGAAATTAATTAAACAAGTTAACACATTTGTAAGAGAAGACCTCTGCTGTGCTGAGAAGGTGATGATAAACATCAAGTAGTTTCATTTATTATATTAATTAATTATATATCTATTTATTTATGGATATATTTCAATATTTATTCTTCTTTTATTCATATCTGTTTTTATTTATTCCTGTATTTATTAATACTTGTGTCATTTTTCATCCTTCATAACGAGAGGCAGCTGTTGGCAGTGATAATCTTAATCTCAGGCTCCCTCCAGCAACACTCATTAAAGAAAATCATACAAGCGAAAACCGAAAAATCTAAAACATAAAACAGTGTAGACGTTAAAACAATAAAGGGTTACATTTATAATTGATTTGAAAATGATTTACATTCATCAGTCAGTGTGGAGCACCTAATCATGAACAATGTTAACTAAGTTCTTACAGAGTACAGGTCTGACTCCAATATATATATATATATATATGAATAAATATATAAAATAGAAACACACATTATATTTTGTGACTTAACAAATAGTAGTTTGTTAAATTAGAGGGTGTCCTGTTTTATTCTCGAGGTGAAAACTTGTCAGTAGTCCATCTTTCCCACTGCCTTGAACGCATCATCAGACAGAGGGCAGCAGTTGGTAAGTTTCTATTTTTGAGAACAGGCTGAGTGAAAGGAAATGTTAAGGAGGAAATCTCGCGTTGTTTCAGTTTGTTGTTTCAAATCTCAGGTAAAATCTGCTGTTTCATCTGCCTTGGACTGATTCACTGTGCTTCAAGCCATTCATACACTTTATTAAATTTGGGATGACTCCTGACTGCACTCAAACTGCTTTCCTGTTATTATTTATGCTGATTTTCTGCATTTATTTAACGTAATTTTTTAAATTGTATTTTGAAATGTTACTCTGACAGAATTTGTTTTGCGCACTTTGCATTGCCTGTGTGTTTGACAGGTGTTATGATGTTATATTCAAGTGTCATTACATCGACTGTATGTTTCCCTGTAATCACCAAACTTCAGATGTATTGATTTTGTTAGTTTCTTAGGAGCTGTACCTAAAGTACAGTGGCCCTGAAGGGACAAAACACAATGACATTTCAGAGGACAACTTTTCACAAAACATGTCGTGTTTCCTAAAATGTTGTTGTGTTTTGTAAAATGTTGTGTTTGTGACAAAGAAAGAAATCCATCACACTGTATCTCCAACATGTCTGTCAAAACATTTTATTTTGTTAATCAGGAGCTTTAAAATTGTATGAATCCTCATCATGCTGTAGACGTTTGTTATTATAAGTGCCTGATAGAATTATGGAATCGTTCCCTACAGAGATAGACCTTTTCGTTAAGGATTAATGTAGGAGCCTAAATGCAGTTTTACATGTGTAACTTTTAAGATGAGGGTCCTATTATTGTTGCATTGTACCTTTAATTGCCCCTTCCTTACACTCTCACCAGTAATAGCAGGAGTTTTTGGATTTGAGAGAGTTGATTGCAGTAGAGAGATGAGCCACACAGTTTTTGACCTCTTATCTCTTATGTCTTCACCTTTTTCTTCACCTCTTTTTTCTGGATGATTTTAGATTTGGAGAGAGATGATTGCTTCTGTACCATCTTTAACTTTTGAAGTAAACTGTTAAACTTTATTGAGCGGTTCAGTGAATTTTTCTTGCACATGTGGATTAAGATGAAGGGGATGATTGGAGAGTCAAGCTATGGCTTCACTGATTGGAAACCTACAATTAAGATCCTTTTTATTTATCCAGAAAGCCCAGAAGTCGCCATCAGCAAACCAGGATCAATGAGATTAATTAAAAAAAAATGTCTCTAAATAAACTGACCTTTTTTTTTTTTTCATTGATCTCAGCCTGTTAAACTTTTTTGTGGCCGTCCAACCCAGTTGCATTTGTGTGCAGGTATCGCCTCTGACGTCCCTTTTTTGGTTGTCCATTGTACTGACGCAGCCAAGAAAAACTTTTTGTTGCCCTAAGCTGCAGTTAAAATAGAGCCTTAATTTATCCATTTATCCCTTATTTATCTGCTTATCTTAACCAAACCAGAGTTGGTGAATGTCAGAAGAGAGAAAGGATGAGGATGAGCCAATGAGATTTATTTTGTTTCTGTTCACTTTGAATAAAGTGTGTTTTATGATGATAAAATAACTGTTTATTTACATGGAGTCTGGTGGGTTTGGCGATAGCGATTGTGGAGCACATTCTGGTTAAACAAAAAGGATCTTATACTTTTAAAAAATGGCCTGTCTTTGTAGGGATCCTTTCCATAATGCTGTCAGACACTTACAGTAACAATCGAGCCTGTCAGTGGCAAAAACAAACACTTACAGTGGGCATAAAGTGACATTGCATAGCTACCCCGAGTGGTCACATTGCAGCCTGTTTCGCTGCTGTGCACTCACTCAATACTTAAATTTAAAAAACTGTCCCTTCAGTCACTTGGACACAAAAACATGGGAAAAAAGGGCGCAGGTTGACAATTACTCACTTTGTCTTTGACTGATTAATAATTCTTTAGCTTTTTATTCCCTTTACTAAATTTGGGGCAACTTCTGACCGCACTAAACGTCATTTTTTAATTGTATTTTGTAAAGTTGCTCTGACAAATCTTCGCCTTGTTTTCTTTGAATTGCCTGTGTGTTTGACCGGGGCTACAAATCAATTTGTCTTGCCTTGTTTTCTCATGTCATTAGCTGTCACTGAAGCTAACTGAATAACATGTGCGACAATGGCAGTTTACAATAACATGGGTGTTGTTCTCGCACCTTTCGACAGCACTTCCTTCGGCTATGGTCACACTGCACTCACCCAGGCGACTGATCTGGAGAGCAAAGCAACATCAAGCACACGCTGCACAGTGACTGGTAATTTGCAGTCCGGTCAGTGATAACAGGTCAAACATGCCCCGTTTGGTCACGTATCATGATGTACTGGACCAAATGGGTTTGAGTTGAGTTATATGCAGCTAACGAACAGAGCCATGATGTGTTTAAGACCAATAACAAGGAAATCAAATCTGTATGTTTAGATTAAAAAACTCTGTCGACATCACGTAATGTGTGTTTTTTTATTTAGTGGATACATTTTTGAGTCAAAGGTGAAACAAAAAAAAGATATGATGGATTAGAGTGAGACTTGTCATGCCGCCCCATTGACTTCAATAGAAGTGGCACCAAAGTCTTGCACCAATGCAAAATTTGAATGCTGTCACTGACGTAATGACCCTCCCTTTTTTAACAGTTTCCGTGAGTTAAATCAGGAAGTGGGTCTGTAAACTCTTCCTGGGAACAAAGAAACAGTGGAGTGAGACCTCTCTGTCCTCCTCTAAAAGGAAGTGCCAGGTATTCTAATGATATTTCAAGTATTGGTCCAACTCATGACTTTAAAGGCGATAGCTCTTTTCTTTAGCTCCCATTTTACCCAAATATTGAACACCATACAAGGAGAAGTCGGAGCAGCTGTAGCACAAAATAGACCAAAATGCAAACAACAAATAAGTTTGGTTCTGACAAAAAATCCCAACTGTTAGTTGCATAGCCGGCTTTTTTATACCCTGCACCACAGACTGTATAAAGAAGTGAATGTAGCATTGCAGTGTTTCCAACTTTATCACTATAGATTCAGTGACTTTTCAGACCCTTGCGACTTTATTTCTGAAATGCAACTGGCAAAAAATTTTGCGACTTCTGTAGCACTGTAGTGTAAGTGCTTTTGCTCTCATGCCACTCAAATGTTTTGAATCTAATTCAGTGGAGTATTAATGCTTCCATTAACACATGATGACACCACCAATATGCAAATGAGCATATGACAACATCTTGTGACTTTCAGCAACATTTGGAGCTTGTGCTGGTGACTTTCATTGGAAACAAGTCGGTAACACTGAGCCTCTGGGTCTGAGAAGTGAAGTTAATGCAGAAGTGCCTTAATGGTCACTAGATGGCGACTCTACTGTCTCTGAGAGAATGACTCTACTACTCACTTGATTTATTACCTTAGTAAAGGTTTTCCTGATGAGTTCATGGCCTCAATCACTAGTTTAATGTCCTCTTCAGTACAGCAAGATGTTCATTTAGTAAGTTATGGTCCCACTTAGAGTAAAATAGACAATAACACGGTATGCTTCAGGGCATGGCTACCTTGTGACTGACACGTCACTACCATGGTGGTTTGCTTGCGTTCTTAAGTGGGATTTATACTTCTGCATTGAATTGATGCCGAACCCACGGCGTAGAGTCTAAACTGTAGCCTGACGTTCACCTCCTCAGAAATGAAACTACATATCTCGGCGACGCAGACCTCCTGTCTATTTCTGTAAGTGAAACCATTTCCCTCAGTGGAAACAAAGCTTTTATTTACTTTAATTTCACAGATAAGAAACAATGAATTGTGAAGACAATAAAGCCTCCACAAAAAATAGCATTTTAAGTCTTGTGTGTGATTTATCCTGGCTTCAGATGAGCAGAGGAAATCTCAGCTTGTGGCTAGGCTAATGTATGCAGTGTAAAATGCCATAGGCTTGTGCTAATAACGTTAGCATGTTGTATTTGTGTATAAAACGTGTTTAGTATAAGACAGTTGTTTTGTCAGTGAACCTTGTGAGTTGTAATTGAGCCGAATTTTGTAACGTTACCTTTGTTTAATGTTGCTGTTGTCCCTGGCTTCATGTGAGTACAGGAAAAGCCCACTAGCTGCCAGGCTAATTTATACAATGTAAAATGCCATAGGCTTGTGCTAATAACATTAGCATGTTGCATTTGTGGGGAAAATGTGTCCAGATAAAGACAAGTGTTTGTCTGTGAATGCTGTGAGTTATAGTGAAGCTGATTTGTGTACCTGTGTTTGAAACTGTCTCTATTAAGTCATATTTAATGTGTGTTTAATGTGTTTTGAACCAACTAAACTTTACAGCACAGAAACTAGTGTTCTGGAGGTGTAACTGCAGAGTGACACAGACACACCACCGCACAAGTATAAATGCTCACAACTGCGTAGGCCACGTGTGTAGGCTCTGCATAGAGCTGACACGCAAGTATAAATCCCGCAGTAGTCAGATCTAGGACCCTACAATACCAGAGTGACGACACTTCCATTGACCCCTGTGGTATGCTGAAGTTAAGCCTCACGCGCCCTCTAGTGGGGCATGAGGGCATTACCTTCCCGACCAGAAAACCCATTCACTTACAGTATGTCTGACGCGCACTTGCTTGTAAGTTGATGAAAACAACTGTTTTTGTTTTTTTTTTACCTGTAAACGGGTCACCGATACTCCTATTACGGTAGATTATGGTAGATTATGCTTTTAGGTTTGCTTGACTTTGGAAACGCACAAGAATTCCTGGTTGGCAGCAATGCAGCAATACTGAAGTTCAGACAGTTCTTGGTCGGATATGCAACATGCTATCCCGCCACTAGAGGGCACGTGACCAACTTTCCACATGACCAATGTGAGTCGCTACTCTGGTATTGTAGGGTCCTAGTCAGATCAACCTCTCACTGCTTTACAGCTCCACTCTCTTGTCCAAATATGGTCACTTCTGGCTCCAAACAACCAAGATGGCGATGGCCAAATGCCAAAATGAGAGGCTTCAAAACAGGCCTTCACAAGCCAGTGGGTGACGTCATGGTGGTTCCTTCCACTTCTTTTACACAGTCTATGCCCTGAAACCACATTTGACTGAAAACAACATGCTCTTTCATTTGGAAATCACTGAATGAAGTCAAAGTAAAAATGGAAGATAAGATAAGATAAACCTTTATTGATCCCACAATTGAGAAATTCCAGTGTTACAGCAGTCAAGGGTAAAGAGTCAAATTAAAGATTTCAATATTTAAAAAAACTTGTTAAATGTATGCTTCACAAAAAGCTATAAACTGAAATGTACCTTATGATTTATGCTCATCAAATCTAAAAGGTTCTCTTAATGATGCATGTTGCATTGAGTACTCCCACATCACCCTTTATAGAGAAACTCTACTTATCCAAGAGACGTTTTTTATCTTACTTTGTCTAAAAAGCAAAACTTGAAATTGTGTATAGTTCTAGTAATTCCATTACAGCAAACATGTTCAAACTCTCAGACGATTTACTGATATTTATTTTATTTCACATGCTGAGGAGAAACTTATCAAAAATAGCCCACCTCTACCCTCACCTGTTACAAAGCAGAGTCATTGTTGCACTGTTGTGGACACCTTACTGACATTAAAGGGATACTTCACCCGCATATGACCATTTGTATAATAATTACTCCCTGCGTGTTACATTGAATTCTTGAAGAAAAAATTATATTCTTCCATACCTCCACAGTAAACCTTTCTGAGTAAACATATGTGACTCTCAGTCAGCATCAGGGAGAATTTACTTCCTGATCTTGACCGGGCAAGAGACCTTGACGTCTCTGAAGCTGTTGCAGTCGAAGTCGGCCATGGCGGTCTTCTTGCCGGCCTTGTATGGGAAAAAAAAGAACTTGACACGAACTTGTATGTTTGGCATCAGATCTGGAATCCTGTGAGTAACACAAAGAGTAAAAATAAACAAAAAGATTAGTTTGAGAGTAAAGCTCTTTATGTTGCCTGGTGTTGTCTGGATTATAAAAAGGAAACACAACTTTGAAAGGATGCACTGTTTTGCCGTCATATACCACAAACTAAAGCTGAGTGTCAAACCACAAAACCTTTTTGGTGCCGACTCAAATGTGTCCGTAGCGCCAAGTATAGAAAACTGTCAGGTACCAAAAGATGATCAGCTGTAAGAAAACACACTCACTTGACTTCAACCTCATCTCGCCACAGGCCACTTCCAGAGAGAGTCAGATGGCAGTTTGTCAGTGTCTCGTTGGCCGGGTTCCTGAAAACCACCTCCCCTCTCGCTCTTCGGTGGACTTGGGGCTTACCGAAAATCTGGAATACACACATTTTAACAGATAATTCAGATACACTCAGTCAGGAAACCAAACTGCAACCTCTTGAAACATCACTTCCCATCATGCATCAAGATGAGAGAAAAACAGCCCAAACACAAGATGTGCTTTAATGTAAAGAAGTTTGCAGTGTACATTTAAGGTTATATTTTTTTATATCATGAGCGTCGACAAAAATTTTTAATAAATAGATGTATGACTTTATTTTAAACCAAAAAAAAAAACATAATTAAAAACAAACAAGACGTGGATAACAGTGTCCAAACAGAAGTAGGCAGAAGTAAAAATTATAAGTCCCTATCCCTTCCTTACATTTCTTTTTTTAACTTATACAATATTTCAACAAATTCAACAGTCTATTTACAACCCAATTAAATAAATAAGTAATAAACCCAGTTTATTTACAGTCAAAGTACCACCCAGTGTTACTAAATAAATATGCACTCCTCTAACACAACCTGTCCTCATCTATATATCTGCCAAAAATATCCTCTTTGTGTACATATTTTTTTTAAATTGACTGATTGATGATTTATTGATGTCAATTATTATATTTGTCTCCCAAACTCTAACCAAGTAATGACATAACAATGGCCAACATTTAAGTAAAAGTACTGACACCACTTTGTAAAATACTTCCTGCATTCAAAACCTTAAATAAAAGTATGTAAGTATTTTCAGCTAAATATACTTGAATTACTCAAAGTAAAAGTATTTTCTATGCAGTAAATGTTCCCTGTCAGTGTTTTACTACACTATCTGATGTTTTTGGATTATTATTACTGCTGCATTAGGCTCCGATCAAACAGAATGCATTTTGCAGACCCTAAAAAAGAGGGTGGATCATGGGGAGTACCACCAGTTGGTCCAGGAGCTTCTCCTCGATGATGGCTGTTTCTAGGCATATTTTAGGATGACTCAGGGGCAGTTTGACAACCTGCTCTCTATTGTCCAGCTTGGGGGATCCAGCAACCACTACCACCAGCTTCTCCTCCATTGTTTACCAACTGTAAACTTGTTGTTGGGAGGTCAGTGGCTTAGTGGATAGAGCAGGCGCCCCATGTACAAGGCTGTTGCCGCAGGGGCCCGGGTTCGACTCCAGCCAGTGGCCATTTCCTGCATGTTGCTCCCCCTCTCTCTCCCCCTTTCACACTTGTCTGTCCTGTCAATTAAAGGTTTTACATAAAAAAAAACTTGTTGTTGTGACCACCACAGAAGGCCCGCCTCTCAAATCATCCGAATGGACAAAGATGACGAAAAAAGAAACGTGGGGCACTTTTCCACTCTGAGATGAAGTTTTTCAACTTGATGTGTTTAGAGCGCTGCGGCAAAAATACCAGGCGCCTAGAGCGTAGATATGTGGGGCAGGCTGCAACGCAAAACCGCAAGCAAAAAGCTTCATTCTCATTAAAAACAATTACAAAAAGACGCCTCCAGCTGCTAAAACACTTTCCGTGTGATCAGGGCCTATATGTTGCATTTTACTGTAGATGTTGAAGGTTGTGCTCATTTTAACTCCTAAATATACTGTTGGATAGTTTCACCTACAGCAATGCATCATGTTCTATAAGATGAGTGAGGAAGATTCTGACATGCTTGTGAAAAATACAGACGTCGTGTGCAAAAGTCAATTTGTCTTGGGCTCTACACTCATATTGCAACTATAAAAATACAACGTAGTACATCAGCAAATCAACATTATGCACCAGATGTAACAAAACAAACAAAAGATGAATGAATAAAAAACTTCAAGCACGTTGCCATTATTTAAAGCTTTATAGACAAAGGTATTAATGAACTATATTACTATTGCTATTACTATTTCATTAGTTTTGGGATTGTTTTCTTTAAAATCCCAGACTTTGAGTGTGAGATGAGATACCAATGTGACAAACAGCTGAACGAAGCCAGACAATACGGGATATTAGAGACAGAGGTTTTATACTGACCTCCAGGGAAATGGGAGGGTCAAGCAGCACAACTTCATCATCAGCCAGGTACGTGTGATCTGGGTTCTCCATGTCTGTGACCACAGCTGATACGTTCATGCTGTCAGCATTAATCATGTGTTCATGGTAGATGATGAACGGGATCCGGATAGGGATTAACAGAGCTTTGAGAGACAGAGAGGAGAGGGGAGATTTAAAGTCGGTTCACAACAAATTCCATAAAAACATACAATGTTTTCTCACCTATCCCTCATAGTGTCTAAACATGCAGACGGTTTTGGTTTTATTTCTCCACCCTTTTATTTATCTGCCTCCAGCAGTCAACAGAAACACCTCTGTCCAGTGAAAGAGATTCACCTTTCCCAGGTTCCAGTGACCTCTCCATAACCTCATGCTTGATGTTGACAGCTGGCCTGCCGTTGTAATGCATGGCTTGGACGCTGATGTTGATGGACAGCTGCCTGGCAGTACTGCTCTTCAGCTTCAGCTTCAATCTCACATCCTTCCCGTTTGTGGGGTGAGTCACCTGCCATGACAGGATGGAGACATTGATGAAGGGCCAACTGAAACTTAATTGAAACAAAGCTAAGTTGGTCTTTAATAAGGTTGATCAATTCAGTGTTACATAAGAGTAATTATGCACTCGAGCTTGTGCTCTACCATGGGATGGTGAGAGTGTTTCTGCATGGGCACGCTATACAACAGTGCCAAAAAACATTCCTTATTTGGGTGTGCTTTACGCAAATAAATGTGAAACCCCCATTCCATAATAACAGTTAAAGGTGTGTGTTTGTTTAAGCATGAGCCAAGAGACGGATTAGGGTGATTTTGTAACAGCTAAGAGGAGGTGTTAGGCATGACCCAGATATTGGTTGGTGAAGGTTAACCCCATCATTACTAAATTGCAACCTCCGAGGCTGAAAGCCAGTGTGGAAGTGCCAAAGACTGCAGTTCATCGAATGGCCACTTGAGGCTGGCTCCAAAACAGAGTAACTCTCCACAGACCCTCATGTTAAAATGCCTTAAACTTTACAGCAGAAATAAACATGTTTACAGCCTGGTACAAAAGACAGTTTTGGTCTCTACAGCTAATTTCAACATTCATGACAGCTGTACAGGAGGTGAATTTTTATATTACTCACTCGTGTATATTTTAGTGAGGCTTCATAAGAGTGGGGCTGCTTGAGTGACAGGCCGACCGTGAGGCGTCGCTGCAGTGTGTGAGTCAGATCCAAAAACCAAATATAAACTACACTGTAGCCTGAAGTGCACCTCCCCAGAAATGCAACTACACGCAGACCTCCTGTTTATTTTAAAAGCTGAAACCATTTCCCTCAGTTTTTTATATGATTTCACAGATAAGAAACAATAAATTGTGAAGACAATAAAGCCTCCACAAAAATAGCATTTTAAGTCTTGTGTGTGATTTATCCTGGCTTCATATGAGCAGAGAAAATCTCTGCTCGTTGCTAGGCTAACTTATACAATGTAAAAAGCCATAGGCTCGTGCTAATAATGTTAGCATGTTATATTTGATTGGAAAACATGTTTAGTATAAGACAGTTGTTTTGTCAGTGAACCTTGTGAGTTGTAATGGAGCCGAATTTTATAACGTTACCTTTGTTAAATGTTGCTGTTGTCCCTGGTTTTATATTAGTAGAGGAAAAGTATGCTAGCCGCTAAGCTAATTTATACAAAGTAAAATGCCATAGGCTTGTGCTAAAAACATTAGCATGTTGTATTTGTGGGGAAAATGTGTCCAGATAAAGACAAGTGTTTGTCTGTGAATGCTGTGAGTTATAGTGAAGCTGATTTGTGTACTTGTGTTTGAAATTGTGTTTAAAGTGTGTTTAAAGTGTGTTTTGAATCAACTTAACTTTACAGCACTAGTGTCGACTAGTGTTTTGGAGGTTTAACTGCAGAGTGACACAGACACACCACTGCACAAGTATAAATGCTCACAACACCGTAGGCCACGGTAAAGGGTCTGCCACACAAGTTTAAATCCCCCTTAACTCTGCACGCTGTTGTCTGTTAACATTTAGCCGTCGCTCAGTGCTACATCACCAGTCACATCACTGGAAGAAAATGTTGGCATCATATGTTTCTTCAAACCACAGATTCATCACATGGGCACATTTCATACGTATCATATCAACATCTCTAAACTGATGTAGTTTATGAGCTGACACTGTAATCTGGAGGTGGAGGAGAGGGTGGATGGCGTATCACCTAGGTGAGAAGACTGCCAAGCTGCAGACCACTGTTAGTGACTCACAAACAACAAAACCGGTTGTGATTTAGCAGGTCATTGCTGTGTTTCCAGCAACTTCTTAGCCACCAAACACAGTTGTTTTTTAGGGAGCTGTCCCTGTGTTTCTCCCAGGGTACTGAGACATCGCTGCATTTCCAGCAGGGATCGGACCCCCAAAACTTGGTATTTTAAGCCAAAATGTGATCTTTTCCTAATCATAACCAAATGGTTTTTGTGCCTAAACCTAACCAGAGAAAAAAACATTGAGAAACAAAATTGAGACTAAAAATAAGATAAAAAACACACTGTTCAATTGCACTAAAGGGAAACTCAGGGACTTTGCTTTCTGTGACGCACCTCTACAAACGTCATGACCACTGGTGGAACTGGAGCTGGAGCTGGAGCTGGAGCTGGAGCTGGAGCTTCCTCATCCTCCTCTGTCTCGTCATTGTCTGGCTCCTCCACCTCTTCATCCTCAGCACCCTCCTCTGTCTCGACGCTGTCCTCCCCTTCTTCAGCGCCGTCATTCTCCTCCATCTCTTCTTCTTCTTCTTCCTCCATCTCTTCATCGTCATCAGTTGCAGAGTAGTCTTTGGTGACGTTGACGGCATACTTAAAGACAGCCCTCTCCTTATCTGACCCTATAAATGAAGAAATTCGGTCAATTTCCAGAGCCACTACTGTAGTTCAGTAGTTTGTGTGTGTGATCTGTTTGTTAGGTGAACCCACCCTCTTTTGGTTTGTAGGTGTCGGTGACGTCCACCCTCTTTTTGGAGCCGACAGCCTTGGTGGAGGTATTGATACCAACTCTCCCAGGGAAAGACTCGATCTTTGTTTGTGAGCCATCTTCTTTGACCTGACAGGACAAACAAAAGAAACAACAAAAAGAAACAATGCATCACACAAAATCTGCAATCAAAGTAGCTTTTGCTGCAGCCCTTGATTAAATGTATATGTTGATGAGGTTAGACTCAAGCTCTGCTCACTGACCAGCCATTCAACAATGTCAGCATTGACCTCAGCAAAGACAAAAGGGCAGTCATATTTGAGGTCTACTTGTCCGATCCGGATGGCTTTGACCGAGGCTGGACCGCAGCAGTAAACATCTACAGGAGAAGAGACAATTAAATCATGAAATGCTGTAACAAACTGCTCAACTTAAAGTAGATTTTTTTTTCCACCACAGAAAACCACTGTCTGATCTGAATTCCTCACTTTGCTGCCACGTGATGTCCTAATTGCTGTATTGTCGGCAACTGGAAAATGTTTCACCTCGTATCTAAGAGGCTTCGTCAGTCCTGAACTTAAGACTCCTCTTGGATAGAGTTTCCTTTTAATACAAAAAGAAACTCACATATGCAATCATAATCTCCTGCAGTCAAAGAGAACTTCTACAGGTGATAACTTTAAAAGGATACTTTGCAGATTTTCAACCAGCTTTGTGTCATAACTGTGGGTAGTATGTGTAAATGAACTATGGTAAACTTCCCTCCATCTAACCAGCGCCTTCATCTTCCTGCTCCCCTCCCAGAAAAACTCAACCTGATGATGCAAAACACGTCTTGCTGGCTCTCGGGCTGTTGCTCAAACTGCAGGCTGAACTTCCACATTTTTGTCTTGTCTGTCAGAAGAGGACCACACCCCCTCCCCGATAACTATGATGATAATTTTTCATCAATGACCTTTTTTTCCATGACGAAAACACAACAATGAAGAGCTAAAAATAGATCTTGATAATAAAAAGTAAGACAAAATCGATTATTTTTTATCGTCGATGAGACAAGACGTGACGAAAATGTGGTGGACTATCTGACACTGAAAGCTGAGAGCAGCCGTGCTTGTAATTTTCTTCACATGCTGCATAAGAGACAGGCTGGTAAACTCAAGTTAATAGTCCACACCAGGATGTTTACATAGCCAGCAAAAACACTCACACTGGAGCAGCGTGCACCGTTGGTGCGAGTTGTGAGCTGTAATTCAGCAGTAAATAATCAGCCGTGTGTGTCTGACTGTGGATGGTGGAGCTATTGAATGAATTTTGTGGAGTTTGGGAGTTGCAGCGGTGGCTGTTAGCAGTTAGCTCCGGTCATTAGCCGCGGAACGGCAGTGGAGCAAGCGGCCACTGGCCGTCGGACTTCACAGCTGATCCCCGCAGGAAATGACAATTTGTAAGTGTGTAGAAATTATTAGTTGTTGTAGTAAAAATTGTCTAAATTAAATTTCTATACAACCTGTCACCTTGACTCTCATTCACTGGATTAGTTTGACGACCAAAAACATGGAAAACATAATGACTAAAATGTCGGGAATTTTTCTCGACTTAAACGTTTAGAATTTTCGTCAACTAAAACTATGACGGATAAAAATGACTAAAATATGTCTACAACTAATAAGCATTTTTCTGCATTATGAAAAGACTCTTTCCAGCAGTGAAATACTTCTTTAAAGGGGCTTTCCAGCCCGTTCTCATTCCCTGGTCATCATCATCTGCATCAAAGTCATTTTTTCATTGCATGCTACCATTAAATTATTTTTCTAAATCCCTGTTTGGATGGCATTGGACTTATGAGTGACACTGTTGATAAAATCTCAGAGTAGAAACAGGTCAGCGTGTAAAATTAGGGCGAGAAATAAGGTCATCAGAGCAGGGAAGAAAGCACATCACATTTAAAGTTTATGGAGATAAACAAAGGAGTCCGTACTATCGCTCATCTCCTGCGGTGTTGGATCCAGAACTTGCCAGCCGTCATATTTGCCTGTTTCTGACAGGTCAGGGCGCTTCATGTACGACTCCGTCCACACGTGGAAGTTCCTAAAACACAAAACAGCATTCAGATTCTGCCACAGTGGTGCAGTGAGACTGAAATACATCACTGATAAACTGGATTTAGAAGAACCAGAACATTCTGGTCCAACACACGGCCTCCTGCTTGTTTATGGTTGGCTCTGTGTGTTGAATACAAACCAACTAGCCAACAGTTTGCAAGGCTGGGGTAGAGATGCATGCTCAAAAGAAAAGCCAACATTTCTGGTTGGAAGGAGAAACACAACTACTTTCAAACATCATAAAAGACTTGGATATCAACAGGTTTGTGGCTATGCGCAAATATGGTAAACTTCCCTCAACCACCTTTTCAAGAAGGTGAGAAAAACATTTTATTTTCTTCTGTTATCAGTAATGTGAGACAGGTAAATGAAATGAAACAGGTGCAGTTAACTCCGTATCATCTGAACCATCCAAAAAGTCAAACGAAAATAGTTAGACATTAAACTAGATGCAAAAAACACGCTCAAGTACACACAAAATAACAACAGCTACAGCAGGCTCCTCCCAGTCACAGCTCTCTGCTGCAGACGAGTGCATTGCTTACATCAGCAGAGTGACATCTCTGTCAGTCTGCCCTGAGCTTCAGCATTGTTTGTCACTGTTGTAAAATGACACCACTATTAGAACATCTTAATACAGGCAGCCTGATGTAGGCAATAACCCACCGTTAAGTTGAACAACAAGTATGATAGTCTGGCGTAAAACCACACCGTCTCCCTCCAACTCTCTGCCAGATTCGGGTTCAACAGCTGCCTGGTCGGACGGCAAATTGCTTTCCCACGTCCACAGGTCTTATTAGACCAAAACTTAATTTGAAATAATATTTACGTCTCCCACATCACGCCTCTGATAATTAAATAAAGAAAAATGATATGCAGTTTGGGGCTGCGGTGCATAAAGAGGGCAGAGGAGGAGCATGTTGGTTTGGTTTCCACCCTCCTGGAATAGATGACATCATGATGGGGTCTGATCGCCAAAGACATTTCTCATACCTAAGTGCACCTGTAAATAAATTCACTAAAAACCAGTCTCTTCTGGTCGAGAATGGCGGCGCGCATAGACGCAGCAGCTCAGTGCTCTCTGAAACCTCCAACTCTGAAACCGCACATATCCACTATGTGAGTGGATATGTGTGGGGCTGAGTGAGTCATCGCTCTCATACAGTTCAGATGAACTCTTAAATATTGGAATTGATTTGGGATGATTGTGTACACGAATGTGTTGTGTATTTATTACTGTCTATTTTTCTTATTTTTATATTCAGGCACGGCACAGCAAATTTCATTGTACATCCTGTGCAATGACAATAAAGTCTATTCTGATATCTGAGTATAACACTTAAGGTGTTGGGAAAGACCCCCCCCAAAAAAAGTATTCAAAGCGTCATGGGACACTTCAACTCTCCACAGTAGACAATAGTGACATTCTTTCTTGGCGGATCAAAAGTTCTTACGATAAGTCACCACACCCAAACACCTCCACATGTTCAGATATAAATCAGGTAAAATGCCAGAACACAACAGACATCACAGTGTTCAGAGGTCAGATTATTTTGGTAGCTGCGGTTAGCAGGTAATGACATGCTGTCATGATAATAGGCCTGAGAATGTGTTTAATGTGAAACCTTTTTACTCTGATCCGACCTCTATAAACTGGGAACACTTTCTCATTAAAAACATGGCAGATTGCCCTTGTTAATTTGGTTTTTATTAAATTTTGTAATTTACTCAGCTGTAAGGAGTGGCACTGGTCTGGCACGATACTTTACACACCCATGGGAATTTACAAGACAGTGTGTCCATGAATAATTCAGCAGCATGTGAATATTATATCAGCACAGACATGGAAAACGAATCTTTCAGTGAATTCGAAAACGTCTGTAACGTGTGCTGCTAACTAGCTAGCTAACAGCTTAAAATAACTTGTGTAGTGTGACAGCATGGGTCCTTTTTTTTCTAAAAGGTAGTGATATTTTGTAAATATTATTTCTGAATTATGATTGTAATGTTTCGTATACACATAATCTATCCACCTTATTCTTAGCCCACAAGATACCTTGCGAGAACTAGAAAAGCAATCAGAGTGCAGACCTCAGCCAAGTAAGTGATATTCCCTCCCCCTCTGCATCAGATTTTGCAGCCTGCATCACAGTTAGGTTATTTGCATCACTATCATTATTAGGTTATATACGCCTTCACCATGGAGACACTGTGGTATATTTATTTCGTTTTTATTTTGTAACAAAACAGAATATAATATGTTTTTTTGTATTTTTCACTTCCTTTTTTCCAACACAGAACATTAATTTCAACTTTAGAATTACAACAATACTTAGCAAGTAGAAGAAGACGTGCTTTCCAGCCATCAGATGGTACTATTTTCACCGTGTCATTAGAAATTGGAATTGCTGCTGAGGCTGTCAGACGATAGACTTCATTCTTTTATCCACTTTGCTTCAATCGATCACCACCAAAATTTTATCATCTGTTCCTTGTCCCATTATCCAACTTTCCTGAAAATTTCATCAAAATCCGTTTGTAACTTTTTGAGTTATTTTGCAGACAAACAAACAAACAAACAAACAAACAGACAAACAGACAACACCGACAAAAACATAACCTCCTTGGCGGAGGTAATTATGTGTTCAACTTCCAGCGTTGAGCCGAAACAGGTGATTTCCAGTGGTAACAGTTTGTTTACAGTACTCTATTCTTCTTTCCAAGAGTAATTAGGAAATAAAACGTGGAACACACCACCTGTTATAGCTCAAACAGGATCATGTGATCATACCTCTGCCATCTCTGACAGCCATCTCAAAGCTTTGTGTTTTTTTTTTCTTTTTCAACCGAGCACGCTAGTAATTAACTCACCTTACTCCGTTAAAATATTGTTAACTTTAACATGGCCCGAGCTAGCTTAAGGTTAACATCTACTCCTTCTAAAGATGATTTCTGATTTCTGATGAATGTGAATGATACAAACATAATTCAGTATTAACTGTAGCTCCATGTAAAGTGAATAAATGTGATGCTTCACAGCTAATCCTCCACTCATCTGCATTAGCAACGCAGTTTACACGTTTTTTTAACTTCCAATATAAAAACTGTTCTGAGCGAAACATGAAGCTGAATTTAGCAGCAGACTTCAGTTATAGTCATATAAAGTAGTAGTTAAAAAAATAACTTTTGGCATTCGTTTTTTTATATGATATAATGGACGTACGGTAAATCAGTAACACATTCTCAGCCCTAATGACTAAATACATATTTCAATGTATGTCGCTGAGTTTATTTTACAATGAGCAATTTTCTAATGTAGATTGAGAATGAAGTCAGACGGGGAATGACAGGGATCATGTACTGACGTTGAGTGACGGACCTGTCAGTCTAAGTGTCATTCTCTTCTGCTAATTCTGATTTGATACTTTTTCGCGATGTCTAGTGAAACTTTATTTCTCATATCAATGGCCCTCAGGAATAAGGTGAATATGATCAATCAGTCACATTACAGATCAATGTATTGAATTTAAGGAAACTGGAAACTGAAGGACAGAATGTGGTGGGACATGTTTTACTTTTGATGGACTTGTATTAAAGCGCTGTGTGTCTCACCAAACACTGTCATGGGTCTGTTTTAGTGTGACTCCCTCTTCGGCGTAAAACCGGTCGATGGTCAGATTCCCATTGGTGTCGTGGGCTGACGCAAAATTGGTGATCGTGCGGGTGGGAACACCCAGCAGACGCATCACTGGAACCAAACACAAAGATTTGAGTCATTCCAGTAAGTCCCAAACCTAAACACATTCAATCTACAATCATATAAAACAGAGAAGAGAAACAAGTCCATACATTTGAGTCAAAAATTGTCAGTTAAGTTTGCGATGACTGGAGTTGATAATTATCTTTACATATGTTCCAGGTGTGGGACCTGCAGAGTGAGACGTTACCTGAGCACATCACACCAGCGAACACCCAGCACTGCCCGTACTTGACCGGTTTGCAATCACTGTCGTACCAGCGTTTAAGGATGGCGTGACTGCCACTCCAGTGAGAGGGTGAGAACCCGTCTTCATAATTGCCTCCCCAGTTTCCCTCCAAGACACCGTGGTCATCTTCAGAGTTGATCTGGAAGAAAACAAGGAAACTCTCATTCTTACAATGTGACTTTTTTTTGCCTCAAAATCACAACTCCAAAGAATGACCCTAAAACCGTGTCACATGAGAGACATTTACCAAGTCTTATTAATGTTTTTATATGTGGCCTTTCTAACAGACCTTTCTGTATAATGAATAATTTTACTTTTAACCCTTTAGTGATTTGACTGGCTGTGGGGGAGGGGCATGAAGTGGATATCATGGGAAACACTGAAGGTGGGGATGGGTCATGTAGCTTCATACCACCGTTCAAAAATATACTGATAAGGAACCATCCCTTTATTTCTCTCTCTCACACACACATACAGGAGCTAGTGTGAAATTACATAGGAGAAAAACACAGTTTGAGCACCTACTGCTTCACCAACCTGCCTCCCTGCACAGACGAGTTCTTGACTCCACAGTGTCGCATGTCAAAGTATCTTTGTGCAAGATACTGAACCCCAAATTGCTCCCGATGCCTGTGAATGGTCACTGAATAGCAGGTGGCACCATGTATGGTTGCCTTGGCCACCAGTGTGTGACTGTGTGAATAGTGTAAAACCACTTTGAGTGGTCAGCAGACTAAAAAGAGCGCTATACAAGGGCAGTCCATTTACAATTTACTCAAGTAAGTTACCCGAGTGCTTCCACCACCACCACCATCTTAGTTTATCATGTTAGCACAATAATACTTGCTAATAAGCACAGAAAACCCAAAATAAAAACCCTTCTTTTACTCTCATTTAGGGGTTGAGACTTTAATTTGTTGCAGACTCCATCCCCAGCCCCAACATGGCATCACTCTGAATCACGTAACGGCCGGATTTTGACACACAACAGTCAGAAATGTCGGCCTGTAAACGCTTCGCTGCTGTAAAAGGTTCGTGGAGTTGTCTTGTGTCCTACCATGGCGCTGATCACGCGGCCGACGTAGACGGGGTCGCTGCGAGAGGCAACATCTTCAGCTGGGTTCTCATAGTGTTTGTGGCTGATGTCCAACATCTTTAAAGAAATTTTCACCATGTCTTCCTCAAACTGGACAGAAGCAGACAGGAAGAGAGGTGAGGAGGTGCAAGTTCATGTTACTGATGGCAACACAGTGGTGTTAAACTGAAGATGGGATTATTATGTAAACTTTATAAGAGACATCATCTGCTCTTATTTTATATCAGACTGCAATTATTGATAATTTATGACACATAATAATAAAACCTAGAGATGCATGATATACTGAATCAAGGCTACGTATTCAGTAGTGGTTAAATTTCACAAGTAGGTATTCAGTTGCTTATAAGATTAAAATCTTTATGGCCGTTATTTGTGTGTGTGTGTGTGTGTGTGTGTGTGTGTGTGTGTACCTGTCCCAAGTCCCAGTCTAGAGGCATGATGTAGTTTTTACTTCCTCTGTACAAGACTCCTTGTTCATTCATCACATACTCCTCCACCTCCTTCGCATTTTCCATGTACACCTGGTCGTCTGCAGAGAGTGAATACATGCAGACAGACAGACAGACAGACAGACAGTGTTCGGTTAAGAAGTATTCAAATACTTTACTTCAGTAAAAGTCCTGCATTCAAAGTCTTACACATAAGATAACATCACCATTATCAGTAAAATGTATTTAACGTATTAAAAGTAAAAGATAGCAGTATATTTACTCAAGTACTGCACTTGAGTACAAATTTATTATACTTTACTTGAGTTGCCACTTTGCCACCTCCCTAATTATGACAGTTGTCCCCCCCCCCCCCCAAGAAGACATAGAAACAACAGGTTGGGGGGATCGAAACTTGTACAAATTCTGCTTACCTGTAATTGTAAATATTACAATATTTTTCACGTATTCGTGCCAGGAAGAATCTTGTAAAACAATTTCAGACACTAACTAACCCCTAAAGTGGACCACACCATTTCTTAACATTGAAGTTAGTCATCTCATCTACCTGCCTCACTGCCATCATTGCAGTGGCTCCTGATCTCAGTCCTCATTAAAGTCTATGCTCACGTGTGTAGCTCAAGCAAATGAAAATGCACAACTCTACGTTTTATTACAAATGCAAAGTCACTTACTCATCACTGCATTCCTTATGATGTAGTGGTTTGGACATCACTGACCACTCGTAGACAAGAGCACTGGTATATCTTTATCTATAAAGCAATATTGGGCAAACTGCTGTGTGTCGGCTCTGGTATTTACCAGCTACGCTACTCTAAGTGGTTGCTTTTTAATGGTCTTAACAGATCTGGGGAAAACTGCATTTTCCTACAACGCATCATAGATATGGAACAATCTTCAAAAAGATCTAATATAAGAAACACTTATATCCACTAATTAATTTAAGGGCATCATAAAGAATGTGGTGACAGAGACATGTGCTTGTTTTTCTTGAGAGGCCTCTATGTTTGAATAGTTGTTGTTTTATGGTGGATTTTTGTATTACGGTATATGTTGTATTTGTTGCATTTTAAATACTCTTCCTGATTATACTTATATACTCCTATGTAACAATTGACCTATGGTTAAGTCCCGCCCTCAAACGCCATTCCCATACACTCGGACATTCTCTGCCTGGACGTCCATTGAAATGCATTACAGAAAGTCAGTTTTGTTCGGTGTTATGAGCTTTTTCTGAGATTTGAAGTTTAAAAATGGTCAAACGGTGTGCATGGGGTACATGCAACTCCAACACAAGGTATCCTGAGAGGCTGGGCGACCAGGTGTATTTTTTACACTTTAAACCACATCTCAACCGAGAAAAGTGTCTCCTTTGGATAAAGTTGTGTGGTAACGTTAGACCACAACATCAACTCAACGTGAATAAGATTAACAATGATGTCTACATCTGTTCTAAGGTAAGTCAACATTGTGTTTGAGGCAACATATTGTCACTTTGCTGGAAAGAAATATAAAGTTATCTTTAACATCTCTAGCTAACGTTAGCTAAAGTTAGCCTAACGTTAGCTCCTAACTGCGTTGTTCATCATGTCACCTTGGTTGCTGGGAGTTCATTAGCATATTTTGTTCTAGTTTTGTACTTTGGTGATCGTACATTATTGTTAGCTGTTGTCCAAAGGGCTCTAGTTAAGCTAACGTTAACTTCTGGAGCTTAGCTTCATTAAGTTATCTGTAATGGCAGAGATAACAAAGGTTGGCAAACGTTATGCTGAATGATTCAGTGTAAATACTGTAGCACCAAACTAACGGAGAGACACTCTTGGTAAAGATGGTAAAAAGGCCGTTATCCTTTTCTCATATTCTGAGCCAAAAACCTTAACTTCAATGGCACTAACTTGAGATGCGGTTCACAAGCGTACACTGTGACCTGTAAATTTTGGCTTGTAATTTAAGCTTTTCATCGACCTTCTCAACAATAAAATGATGAATATATCCCTCCAATGCGTAGTTTAGGCCCTTTTAGTTACTTCTCAATGACTTCTGATTGTTATGTCTCCAAAAATCATCAATTGCCTCCTGTGAAATGCCGTGTACTGTGACACCTGCCATAGCGCCGGTCACTGAATGTTGATTGTTTGTCCGAGTGAGTGGAGGGGGCGTGGCTTAGCAGTAGGTCAATTTGAATGCAGGAGTTTACTTGTAACAGAGTATTTTAACAGACAGACAGATAATTGACCTACCGCGACACCAGGGGTTGAAGAGCACCACAGGCTTTGCCAGCAGTTTTTCCTCATCCCTGTGCCAACCCATGACGGTGTACTCCCCTATGGGGGCATCAGCTGGGGGGGTGATGCTGAGGACCAGTTTGCCCGACTTTGGGTCAGAGTCTTTGTGAAGCTCCACCTTCCACACTGCCTTTGCTGATGCTGACCGGTTTGCAGTATCTGGGATGCCGAACGTTGATGCTGTCCCCGAGTCCTCGCTTGGTTGTTCTCCTGTAGACAGGGAGTCAGACGTTTCATTTACCGATGTAACAATCCATCCATTCATCCATTCATTCATCCATCCATTGGTTTAAACAGACTGGACCATCCAGTTAATGTAGTGATGTGATATTTCACTAGCTGTCAAGATCCCTCAAACTTTAAGATGTGAAATTAAGGAAAAACTGTGGGAAAGTTTCAAGCTAACTTAAAATGTAGTTTTACAATCTTCAGGGGAAACTCAGTACCGACTAGAGTTGAGCTGAATACTCAGATTAAAATGCATGAAATCTTACTTTATCTTATTTCTTACGCATGTGTAGAAGTGTGCATATTTTCAGTTACTGCTGCTCTGCTAAGCTAAGACGCTAACATTAACTTCCCTGTCAGGCCAACGCTAACTCTTCTGTCTCGCTAACGGTGACAATATTTCATTAATAACAATTCATATGTTTTTATACAGTAAAAAGATGCCACATGGTCGGAGTTCTTTCCAGATATTACTGTGTTTTGGCTTCGTAGAGCAGAACAGACCCTCAAAAAATACTCAAAACAAATAACTTAATGAAACACCAACCTGTACTTGCAACAATTTTGAGTGGGTGAAGTTTAGAGTCGAAAGGTTTCGTCAGTTTAACGTCCACGTCGAAGGGCTGGCCTCGCCTCACAATCAGCTCCGTCAATGAGATTTCACTGGTGTGGTGCAGAAAGTTGTTCTTCATGGGGGAAGGCTGCACAGAGTCAAAGACTGAAAGAGATTAAAAACAAACAACCATGAACAAGTTAATACAATACAACATTTATTTACTTATTTGATGGCAGTGATATTTAATTTCATTACAATCCACTTCTTATAAAGAGCAAATCTCGAGTAGAAGAAAAGTATAATTTATCCGTGACACACACGAAGATAGTGACCATAATTTAATTAATTTGCATAAATCAAATATAATGTCTAACATTTACTTGACGATCTCTTTCATATCCAAAACAAATCAGATTAGTGCAATTTTTAAGGTTGTCATCGTAGTCATAGACATGTATACCAGGGATGCATGATACTGGATTTTTTTGCTCATTGTGCAAATTTAGAAGAAGCATGTTGGCCGATTCTGGTAGTTCATTTTAAAGCTGATATTGGCCGATACCGATGATGTACTGATAATATCGTGCATCCCTTATACATAGACGCTTAACTACATAGACCAAAACCTGTTTTTCTTTGTTTGTTTTGTGTATCAGGCTGTAAACATGTTTATTTCTGCTGTAAAGTTTGGCATTTTAACATGGGAGTCTGTGTGGATTGGCTCGCTCCTGGAGCCAGCCTCAAGTGGCCATTTAAGGAACTGCAGTTTTTGGCACTTGAGTGTTGGCTTCATTTTCAGCCTTGGAGATTGCAGCCTGGTGCTGACCCAGGTGAGGGTCACGCTTGGCGAGCTCAGGTGAGGATGTGGAGAGACCCAGATTCACCTCGACAAACTGGCTGAGCATGTTGACAATTGGCGTGCTGTTTCTGGCAGAAACTGGAGCAGGGCAGGGGTGGACAGGCCAGGTTGTACATGCAACCACTTTTGGCAGAGTTACAGTATGTGGTGAAGAAATGTGCGTGGGTGGGGCGTGATGCAACAGGAGAGGATAAGAGAAGAAAAGAAAAATGCTCGGCTCCACCTCAGGCCCCCCCAGAACAGCAGCCTGGAAAATCACGTCAGCCCCCTCCCCAAAAGCTTGTGGGGGCGATGCAGTCACGCACAAACACAATCCAGACTCTGATAAAAGCAGTTTCAGCTGCCAGAGGCAATTTCATTTAACGCTGTGTGTGATACGCAGCAGAGACAAGTTTGTGCAACATGAAATGACCCCTTGAACATGACACAGTAAGTCTGAAATACCTTTACAATACCTGTGCCTCAAATGTCCCGGAGGCAATTCTTGACCAGCAATGACTTAGTTGAAACTTTTAACTGTTGAGTTTAAGTTTGTCCATTGCTCCTTTGTCATGAGCTTGTTTTAAACCCCAACGTTGCACTTACAAATAAATATTTTTATATTAACAATAGATCAAATGATAATGTATAACATGAAGGATCTGCTTCCTTTGACGAACCCACAGAGAGTTATCACCTGATGTCTCAGCTGTCGTCAGCTCTACGGAGCATTTTAACCTCAGCTTCTTGTTTTTTTGTGTCTCGCCACAGTCATATGAACACTTACAGCAGCAGCTGGCATGAGAACAGGCTTTGACCACCAAACCACAGACAGGCACAGTTTGAGACAAACTGAAAACATGTTTTCTGAATTAAGCTGCTAAAAAGACAGTAAAATAACAGCTGATAAACAGCATTGTCCCTGTTGCTTTTAATTTCTTTGTAGTTTTTTGTGTCATTGTTGTTGTTTTGTTTCCGTTTTTCTGAGAGACACATTACACCTTGCTATGAAAAACCACATGCCAGACAGCTTCATACGGAAACCGGATATGTGACTGAGCCCATGTGACCCGACAGCAGCAGCTGATCTGTGAGGATTTATTATTATGTTGATTTAATTTACAGTTTGAAGTACATACCAAGCTGTATGCATCATCCTCCAAACTTCCAGCTGACTGTACAATACCGTGTGCTTCTGTCTAAACACATTACGCAACCAGATACAACATTACAGACTGTATTCATGTACAGCACAATACACTGCACGCAATCAGGTTTGGGGTGTGGATGCAGAGATCGACACAGGACAAGATAAAACGTGAAAGTGAAAACAGATACCTTTGTTAAAAACTCTAGTGTACTTACTCGACATAGTCCCCCCTGGCAACATTAGAGGAGCCTCACACGTCCCACAGATTCTACTGTTGTCCATCTTAGAGTGGTGGATTTGAAGACAGTACAATGCAAACTGACAGGTTGTGTGCAGCGCACTGACGGGTGCACCAGCTTTGGCTGATTTTAAAGACCTGGCAAGCCCAGCCCCATTCTCACATTTACATACAACACATTTTGCAACATGGATTTTTTGACCACTTCCTGAAACTGCTGCATGCAATCGGACTGAAGGTTCAGTTAAGCATTGAATGATTTTAGCAGGCTTGTAACAGATGTCTGTTCACTTTGCTGCCATCACATTGTATTATGAGTGTGTGTATGTGACTGCATTTCATACTATACTGTGGGATGCGTGCAGACGCTTCCTCAGCTCCAATTATATGGGCAGGTAGCAACTTGTGTAACTAAGTGCACACTGACATAAAAATGAAAGTCAGACATGGTTTGCGAGTGCTGATGAAGATGAATTCATTCATTATTTCTAACCGCTTGTCCTGTTAAGAAACCTGGACTCTGGACAGGTTGCCAGACTATCAAAGGACTGACACATTCACACCACACTCAAACCTACAAGTTCAATTTCAAGTCACCAAATAACCCAACCTGCATGTTTTTGGACTGTGGGAGGAAGTTGGGGAATCCAGAGAAAACCCACGCTGACACAGAGAGAACATGAAAACTCCACAAGGACGACCCCCGCCTGGCTGGCAGGTTCGAATCTGGAACCCTCTCACTGTGTGGCAACAGTGCTAACCACTGCACCACTGTGCTGTCTGGGCTGAAGAGGAAGGAGGCACATATATCAAGTTGCCAAAGTTATTAATTATTATTAACTGCAGCCTCCTCTCCCTCCTAGCCAGGAGCTTCCCACCTCCCCTCTCTCGCTCTGATTAAAGAAGTGTTGTCTGGTGCACAGGAGTCACCACAGCTGCTCATCATCTTCAGTCAGCTCAGCTTCAAATACCAGGCTCCAACTCCAGCACGCTGCCAGATCGTAGACTCTGCTTACTAGTCAGTCACGTTCAAGCCACCTTGTGAATCCTGTGCTTTTGATTAATGCACCTGTTTCCCTGTACCTGCAGCGTTATCCAGGTCTGCTGCCTCCTGCTCCACTCCTTCTCCACCTGGTAACCATCTGCCATCACAGCAGCTTGCCTCATCACATAACAAAAAGACGCAATGAAAAAATATCAAAAGGCAGTTGAAGAAGCGAGAGCGTTGTTCTTCTCTAAATTTAGCAAATCACTCCAACACCAGAATTTTATCCAAGTTAGTAGATTCCATCATCACTGCCTTCCCATTTTACTAATGCCTCACAAGAGATGCTTTTATGTGATGTTGTCTTTTATTTATTTATATGTATTTATTTCCTTGTTATTGCTTTTGTTGTTTTTGGTCTTTTTATTTGTATTTTGAAGCAGCTGAAATGAGTTTCCTCCATGGGGTGTCTGGGCTCAGCCTTAGAGATAGGGTGAAGAGCTCGGACATCTGGAGGGAGCTCCGAGTAGAGCCGCTGCTCCTTCGCGTTTAAAGGGGTCAGTTGAGGTGGTTCAGATGTCTGATCAGGATCCTCCTGGGCGCCTCCTTTTTGAGGTGTCCCGGGCACATCCCACTGGTAGAAGGCCCCGGGGCAGACCCAGAACATGCTGGAGAGATTACATAACTCATCTGGCCTGGGAATGCCTTGGGGACCCCCAGGAGGAGCTGGAAAGCGTTGCTGGAGAGAGGGACGTCTGGGGTGCTTTGCTTGGCCTGCTGCCCCCATGATCCGGCTTTGGATCAGCAGATGAAAATGGATGGATTTGTGTTTACATACTGACATTTTGTGTCCTGCATTCTGTATTTTTTGTCATCTTGTTTGAACTTTATCTTGACTCTACCCTAGTTTTGTCTTGCTTGTTTGGTAGGACTGAGTGTCCTGTTTGTGCTTTCGCTTTGCATGTCAAAAGACTTTGTAAACTCTGTTTATAAAGGTGCTATTTAAATAAAGTGATTAATATTATAAACGAAGCTGGTTCATCCTGAACAGCTGTATAAACAAACACTCAGTACAAAGTGACAAGGAGTGGCTGAGAAAATCTTAGATGAGATCTACTGGATGAAAAATGAGCACATAATCTGGACAAATAAAACAGTCAGCGCCGCCGCTGAGGGCACGCAGGACCAAAACAGCCCAATATTATCATCATCAATCATAATCGAGCATATTTCATTAACTCTCCCAGTGAAGACCTCCTCAGACACAGCACGGTGGAGCTGCACTGCTGATGGTTACAGTGGCTCAGAGGTAGACTGATTGGAAGATCGGCTGCGCGATCTCCCTAAGTGCTGAACTCACACTAGGTTAGTGTCACAGTCATTAATACTGTCTGTTGCCTTTGCTGATGAAATTTTTTTTGAAAAAACTTAAGCTCATTAAAACATACCTGTGTTCAACAATAGGACAGGTAGGCTACATCTGGCGGTCTTTCTGTCAGCAGCATCAATGCAAAACTCGCTCAGAAGCTGTCACATAGTGCTCCAGGGGTGACTTTTTTCTGTAGGATGGCGCTGAAGTCAGCGTCGTCCTGGTTTAATCGTCAAAAAGCCTGCTGGATTTTCCCATTGGATTTTGACTCATTGCAGAAATTAAGCTCTGTGGCAAACATTTATGATCCCTACACCTTTTGTCCAGCATGATAATCTTCATCAACTAACACGACTTTCATGATTTTTGAAGCCTGAATGCAGCCATCAGAGGTAAAAAACAAACTACACTACAGTTGCGTGTCTGAATGTTGCCCCCACAGCATGGCCGTACCGTCTTTTTTAAGACACATAAAAGCTTCAAAATACACAAGTGGGGTACTCACTGATGTATTTTATGTTGCAGAACAAAATGTGAAAGTCTCTTCAGCTTAAGGAAACTACAGACCTTGTTTCAGGCATCTAACGAAAAACCCATTGACTTTGAGATGAGGGAACCAGGAGTGCTGAATTGCTAACTCATTTCTGGGTTTTAGGACTCATTCCTTGGTGAGTCTGTAATGACTCTGTAATGATTTATTTAATTGAAGAAGACTGCACAAACATGTGTGTGTGTGTGTGTCTGTCTGTCTGCTTTTCCTGTAGTTAGCTCTATAGTGTAATACACACTGGCATTGTAAAGTTCTGGTGTCTTTATTTGGCTTTTTGTCTTTGATAGGACAGTTTAATACTGTTAAAGGCCAAGGGTTATACAGGATTAAACAACTGTCTTATACGAAACACATTTTCCAAGCAAATGTAACATGCTAACGTTATTAGCACAAGCCTATGGCATTTTACATTGTATAAATTTGCTTGGCGGCTAGCAAACTTTTCCTCTTCTCATATGAAGCCAGGGACAAAGGCGACATTTAAGACAGGTAACATCACAAAATTCTACTGTATTACAACTAATGAGGTTCACCGACAAAACAACTGTCTTATACTAAACATGTTTTCTAAACAAATACAACATGCTAACGTTATTAGCATGAGCCTATGGCATTTTACATTGTATAAATTAGCCTACCAGCTACTTCTGATTTTTTTTTTTTCTTTTTAAATTTTATATACTTTATTAATCCCTGAGGAGAAATTCAATTTTTCACTCTGTTGTCAATTACACACAGGTCCGAACACACACGCACAAACTGGACCTATACATGTACTAAGTGGAGAGATGTCAGAGTGGGCTGCCCATGACAGGCGCTCTGAGCGGTTGGGGGGTTCGGTGCCTTGCTCAGGGGCACCTCGGCAGTGCCCAGGAAGTGAACTGGCACCTCTCCAGCTACCAGTCCATGCTCCATATTTTTGGTCCGGACAGGAACAGGCGACAGGCGACCCTCCGGTTCCCAACCCAAGTCCCTATGGACTGAGCTATTGCCGCCCCTCCTCTGCTCATATGAAGCCAGGGACAACAGCAACATTTAACAAAGGTAATGTCACAAAATTCAACTCTATACAACTAATGATGTTCACCGACAAAACAACTGTTTTATACTTAACGCCTTTTCCAAACAAATATAGCATGCTAACGTTATTAGCACAAGCCTATGGTATTTTACGTTGTATAGATTAGCCTAGCAACGAGCTGAGATTTCCTCTACCCATATGAAGCCAGGATAAATAATGCAGAAGAGTTAAAATAATATCTTAGTGGAGGCTTTATTGTCTTCACAGTTTATTGTTTCTCATCTGTGAAATTAAAGTTAATAAAAGCTTTGTTTCCACTGAGGGAAATGGTTTCAGCTTACAGAAATAGACAGGGGGTCTGCCTCACTGCTAGGTATGGTGTCGATTCAACGCAGAAGTATAAATTTCGCCTTAGGGCACCCAAATGTCCAGCAGCGGCCCTGAAAATGTCACTACATCTACTTGACTCTTACCCAAACACATACATGGATTTCTTTTATCTATAGAACTGTCTTAACTTTTGTATGCACAAGTTCATTCTGAGGACTTTCCTGTATTTCCAGGTGACTTTTCACCTGCAGTAACAGATTTTTCTGGCCACTTTAAAACCTGTTGTGGACACTGCATAAAGCATGACATAGCACCGCCTTTAAAGTTGTTGTGTTAAACTGTTTGCTGTTCAGTCAGTCATCAAGGAGCATCGGTTCAAGACAAATAGAAGAGATTTGCTTCTTATTGTGATTAATCCAGTTAGCAAACTGCTGTGACACAACTGTCCCTGGAACCGGTTGTGCAGTCAAGTGAAGATTAACTGAGTAGACAACACTACTGACACACAAAGAGTTCATGTTAGGACTCAAGACATCCCTTTTATTTATATGTTACACAAGCATTGATACTGCACAGTTCTTAAACATGCTCTGCACACGCATGCACACACGCACGCACGCACACACACACACACACGTACACGCATGCACGCACGCACACACACACACACACACACACACACACACACACACACACACTAGCTGTCTTGCTGAATAAAGTCTTTGGCTTTTTGCAGGTTGTGATCGACAGCTCCATCTAAGAACTGAACCCACGTCAGCTGGGATTCCCCGCACACATGACTGGATCTGCACAGGTGAGAGGGAGTGGAGGGTTGTAAGAAAGGCGAACAACGACAATAGAATAATAATTAAAGGTCGACCATCATCAGCTTCCATCAGTCACAGAAAGCAACCGCACGCACAGGTGGCCTCAGGGCCGTCATTAAGAAACATGAAGTGAACAAACAAACATAAGATGAGCTGATGGGATGTTATCAATTTAACTAAACATATTCATTCATTCAAAACTTTATTTAAAACTAATTTTCAATGATGTCATGCATGAACAAGGCATTAACAACAATCGATAAGCAAACAAAGAACCATCACACATAGCAATTAAAACAGAAATGTTATAACGTGTGCCTTGCTTGATTTACCTTTAAATAAAGGTATTGTGCCAAAGTTAGAAATTCCAGTTCTGTGACAACACTGATAACAGACACACCGCCCACTTGTTTCTCAAACTGCCTCTCACACCCAAACCTTTCTCTGGGGGCATCTGGCTAGTCACTACTGATTCCGTGGAAATGTTTCACCTTACCCGCAGTTTCACCATGCCAAGTTCACTCCTCCTTAGCGGCACTGCCTTCAATTGACGCTTCAGATGATTTTTGTAGAGCACTTTTAATTGCTTTATTGCTGAAATGTGCGATATAAATAAACTTGCCCTTATTGCTCCACTTTAACTCAACTGCAGCGCTGCAATCTCTTTATCATTTACAGCACTTGAAGTAACATGTCAGTGGTTTTGCATGCTGTTGCCCATAATATAAAGATTGACTGTCAGGACAACTCTCCATAGAAGGCATTAGTTTTGTCTGATGAAGGTGAATCAATCTTACCTGATAATCTCCAGAACTTTCATCAACAGTGCTGCCAATTTAGAGGCCTGAAGAGAAAAAACAAATGTCAGCGATATGTTTAACTGAATATTTAACAAGAAGGAACCTTACATCTTTACATAATCAGGCACAAAAAATAATGGACAAAAAGCCTGTCTGCTAGCATCACTGTCACATATCAGAGCAATACAATCTTCTCAGCTTTGAAGAGCTTCATCAACTTTTGTTTCCTGAAATTAGCTTTCAAATGTATCAACAGTTTAGCTCCAGTCTCTTTAAACATTTATTCAAAGAGAAGACAGTAAAAGAGTAACAAGGCGCAGCGTGAAGTGCACTTGAAAAATACCACACATTACCAACTGAAATCAAACTGATGACAGATTTAAAGTTCGTCACAAGAAAGGTCGAGTGCTGGCTAAAAGTAAACCAAAGCTGTACCCACTTTTAGTTAACTGCGCCAAAAATTTCTACAATTTCAAATTGGATGTGTATTGGCGTATTTTGTGTATACTAGTAGATGCATTGTGGTACATGTTGTGATGTATGTATTGTGGTAAATGTATTTTATTGTGCCTTCCATGTTAATAGTGTATTGTAGTTTTATGATGTTATAAACTGTATATCTTTAATAACATTTTAGGCTGACATGTAAAAGCCCAATTCGGGACAAGAGTTGAAAATTAGCAGCAGCTATAAACTCTCTGTGCAACACGTCGGTCCCACACTCTGTACTGGAACTATGTTTAAGTGCATCATCCCTATCAAATTAAAATAAAGAAAAAAAGAAGCTGTTTATCAACATTTAGAGCGAATCTATGATTCTGAGCCTGAGCCGGGGTTGCCTGCACAAGGCCCTAATATGGAGGTGTCTGAGCCGGTGAGTACCAGTAAACAGTGCTAGCAGCTAACTGTGCTGACAGGAGAGTGGGCGTTAGGCTTCCACGATAATGCCTTGGGTTGTAAGGGCGATATCAGCTAGGGAGTGGTTTACACACACAGGGACATTTCAGGGTATTTAGAAATCCCAACAGTATGATTTCTACACTCTCAAATATATGCCCATCTTTCTATTAAACTCATATGGAGGTGCTGTATTGAGGATGTTCTTATGTAGTACACACCACACACCACTAGAGGTCAGTCTGAGCTGACAGACATGGTGGCTGCCAGTGGTGAGGATAATATTAAGCGTTGTTTCCACCACACTTTTGGTATAGTACCTTTGGAACCAAAAGTAACCCTAAGACATGGTACCTAGACCCTAGGTCCGCTTAGTGTTTTCACTGCAAACAGTACCCTTAAATGTGGGCGGGGTTGTTGTCACTCACTGCTCCGTCGAGACGGGTATGGCTGCAGACTGGAGCCTCTCGTCTCATGGCTCTCGTCTCATGACCTCTCATGTCATGACTTGGGCGTGTACAACAGCAAGTCTACAGGGTCAAAAATGCAAATTCGCGATTTCTTGACACTCTTGCCACCAATAAATCAAACCGAGAGGAGAAGAAGAAGAAGAAGAAGATGGCAGCGGCGTTACAGGTAAATTCCCAAAGAGACCAGTTTTTTTACTATCCATTTAAAAAAATAAAACGGTTAAACTCTTAACTTTACAATTTTAACCATCTGGATAGTTTGTAACGTTGCATTTTAAACGTAAGATAATACTACGTGTTCCTTGGGTTAACACATACATCTTTATTTGAAGAAACGTTACAGCAACAACAGAGACAGACGAAGGAAAAACGACATATTACAATTAACATAAGACTGACCGAGATAGATTTTCACCCAAATATCGTCATGTAGAAATTTGAGTTTGGTATGAAGGTATGAAAAGAATTTAACCCCCAAGCCTTGTTGGCCGCTGTACTAATGCTCTGAATTTTGCATACTGCAACAGTAATTACATGTACTGCTAGGAATGTTGATAAGTACCTTTCGCTGCTCTGGAGGTAGAACAAAGCACAGCATTGTTTGACATATTCTCTTAGGTGTCCCACATACGAAACTGATTCTCGTATTAAAGTGGTTAAACTGACAGATATTGTGACAAACTGCAAAATGAAGCCAGGCAGAATGAGAGATGATTCAGCTTAACTCATGTCATTTCAAAATGTGAGCTCAGTTTGATTCCAGATTTAATGTGACAGTGTGCAGGGGGTTCTTCTGCATGTGTAAAAAACCTGAATGTGAATATCTTGATGCATTGATGAAATACATAACTACAAACACACACAGGTATAATGAGCGGAAAATTCTACAGACTGAGTACTTTCACTTTGGAAACTCTGAGTCGGACTATATTTTGATGCTCACAATTTTGTACTTTTAAATACGACTTTGAATGCAGGACTTATAAATAATTTAACTAATATATTTCCACACTGTGGTACTGCTACTTCAAATTTCATACAAGACTACGTCTTTCACTGCTGCGTCTGGCTGATCAACAGAGCCGTGCTGCTGCTGGTTAAAAACAGATTCTTTATCATGAGCACTTCACTGATTCAGTGAGATACGTAAAGAGCCTGCTCCTTCAGCCTCCACCCACTCTGCTCTGTCTATACTGCATGTTTACCCTGTGGGGTGTTTGATGTCTGTAGTTAAGTTTCTCTACTTAGGAAGTTTATTTAAGGTGTTGTGGAGTTCATGTTGAGGCTCCACTCTCTGCAGAGGCATTAATGACCTTTTAGATGAGGACACAATAATACAATGAATGATAACAGACTGAACCAAAAAGCAGTAAATAAAGCAGATATGATTAGCTCCTCCTCGACCAACAATGCTCTTCAATAAAACTGATCTATTAATATAAAACAGGGACGGGGGCCATGCTGTTGCCTATTGTATACTTTACAAGGGTTAGTGTTGAAACTGACAGACTGGAGCATGTAAGTAAATAACGCGCGGGAGTAGGGCTGCACGGTATATGCGGTAGACGGTAGAAATGATATAAATTTGGCTCACGGTAGAGATTTGCACTCTACCGTCCTATCGTCAATGACGTCATCGCACCTGCCTCAGTGTGAAAATGGCTGAGAGCACAAAGACAGCGGAGCAAGAGGAGCTGGTTCACGTCCGTGATTTAGCGTAGCGCGTGCAACATGTGTTGCTGGAGAACTTGTGAGTGAGTAAGTTAATGTTTTATGAACAGCCCCGGACTTCTCAGACTCTTTTAGCGACTTACCGCTCAGAGGGAACTCGTTCAGTGTCTCCTCTGGCAGCAGCACAGCGTCTCTCCCTCTCCTCTCTCGCCGTGCGCACACGGGAGTTGGTTTTCGGCAAGAGAGTTTGTCATAAACCTTTGGTAATGTAAACCTACTTAACGCTCACAGCTTGACAAAACACTCCATATATGTGACTGTGTGATAGTTGTGGTATCATAACAGCCTGTCACAGGTTACAGCGTGATGATTAGAGGAGAAATGGCAGAGCATGAAGGTCCAGGTGGAAAAAACACAACTCAGTCATTTAGGATTTTGCTAAAAGAAGGCAATTACCTTTTGATATAGATCCCAGGGGACATTTTGCACCATAGAGTACTGGATTTAATTTTGAGTTCTGAGATCTGCATTCTGCACAATAAATGCTCTAAAAAATACATTATATCTTTGCTTTTGTTGTTGTTGTTGTTTTTTTTTTTTATCAATTTAGCTTTGCTAAGGGACTACAAAACCCATTCAGAAACACTTCTATTATAACTTTTACACTTAAATTTATACCGCGATATATACCGTTACCGTGAAGGGATTCGATTTATACCGTGATATGAATTTTAGGTCATACCGCCCAGCCCTACGCGGGAGCAGCTGGCACCATCACACAAAAAAGACCCCAACCAACCAGATCCTGACCTGTTCTGACTGCAACGCACTGACTTTCTGCAGATGAAAGAGTCCCTTTAAAAACTGCTGACACTGTATTCTGTGAATCATCCTGAGTAATGTGGACTTTGTTTCTGAATATTCGGATTGTTAGTATAATTATCCGACAAATATGGAGTTCACAGATGTACACGAAAGCAGAGCTCACTGAAACTGAAGAGCGGTCAAGGAGAGAGAGGGAGCAGTGTTACTTTGGTAGCACATATACTAAAATTGCAACAGGCAGAGGAACATGTCCGAATCCAGCTAAAGGTAAACACAGACATTCATTTCTCCTTTATGTTATGTTGTCGGATAATTATACTAACAATCCGAGCCTATCTGTGTGAAAAAAATGCACTTTTAGTGGACGTATTTTGACGTTGTTTGACGCTGTCTGAGTGCCCTATTGTTTAATATAGCGCGCGCTCACGGGCTGCAGGCAGGTCAGCCCGAGCTTCGTACCGGAGAAATGTCCAATATTGAACATCCCCTCACTCATTTAGACAAAAGTAGATCAGAAAATAGGGCCCAGGTTGAAAAAAACATTAGTTCCCCTTTAAGTACTGCCTTTAAATGTGGAAACATAGTAGTCATAGCCAGGCCAAGTAAAGCGGGATCACTGTATATTCATTATTTACTTATTTTGATATAATCATGTATTATTTACAACTGAGCACACCCTTCTTACCCTATTTCTGTCTACAATAAAGATAAATTACATTTATAATGAAATGGAATGAAATGAAATATGATGTTATTTATGGCTGTTATTAAAGGCAAACTCAATTTAGAAAGATTGGACTGACAGGCAGCGCCACAGCAGCAACGCTGTCTGTGTGGACACCACACATGTACAAGCTGCAGCAGTCCAGCGAGACTGTGCAGGCAGAATTAGGCAGTGTGGTCCAGGCGGCTACAAAAAGAAAGAGGGGTTTTCTATTTCTGCAGACACAACAATAAGCCTGGGTGGAAGACAGCAACCGTGGTTTGCTTTGTACAGTTTCATCTATCAACATTAGGGGTGAACTGGTGAACTCAGTCAGTTAATGAGTGAACAAAGAGTAACAGGAACCAAGCAGTGCCGAGGAAAAGAGAGAAAAGGAAGTGATGTACATGAAGAAAAAAGAGGTGTCAAAATAAAGAAAATAGTAAACTTTCCTACAGTTATGTTGGACACTGACTGGGGATACCTGGCAGGCTATGAAAGCATTGATCAGAGACTGTGATGCAGCTCAGAGCAAGTGTTCTCTACAAGACAGGAATAGCCTGACAAAGGCGTTTAATTACCTTGATGAATTGGCAGATTTTTGACCTGACCCAAATTTAAGGTGTATGCTGCCTTAGGGAGTTACAGTTAATGATCTTATCTGATCTTTGGCACAAAGACATGCCAAAAGAAACTAGTACAACTTTGGTGTGTTACAGGACATGGTGTGATAATCTATTTTACTTTTCAAACACACATATTATGTTTAATTTAAAATCAAATAATTCACGTTTTTATGATTAAAATACCTAATTTAATCTAATGGACTAAGAACTGCTTAATATTTCCATATATAAAATCCCTTGTAAGGCACACGTGGCGTATAGTGTCAGCTGATGTTAATTTTTGGTCAACAAAGGCGATGG